ACATGGTTTTCCCACTGTGCCTGTCTGTTCCAATCTCCTTTCTCATTAGGAAACCAGTCATATCAGATTAGGACACCCCCTTGTGACCCTACTTAATAAGATCACATTTTAAGGTACTGGGGAATATGACTTCAACATACGAATTTTCAGTGGACACCAGTCAGTCACACAATTCCAAACTCCCAGAGAGAATGCATGTGTTTATCATAAACCACCTGTTTTGACAAACAGTGTAGGCACAATGAAATATTGTTATCAGTTTGTAAATAGTTTAATTACAAAGTTCCCAGATGCCACCTAAGAGAGAAATTTGCAAGCAGGCTTTTCTAAAAGATAGAAGTCTCAGATCTATTGTATTAACACTTGTTTATACAACCTGACAAGTTCTAGGTTATTTTAAATTTGTGTCATATTTTAGGTCATACACACACACACACACACACACACACATACAACCATCATGTTTATTATGATTACTAAATTTGCTTTGATTTTTAAAAGGAAACAAAAATTATAATATTTTGCAAGTTAGTCCATAATATACAACAAAGCCAGTTTCCCTTTTACTCACTCCCTAAACTTATATGATTTTTAGAATAACAAAATTATCCAGTATCTTAGCAAAAAGTCAGCAAAACACATCAAAAATACAGAGAATAAAAACTAGAAGAATCTCAATTGTCTCTGAAGAAAGCAAGCAAATTTGAAACAAAAAGCTAGTTTTAGCCATTATTGGAAACTACAATCTATGAGAAATTTCTACCCAGAGTAAGAAGAAGACACTTAAATCAGGCACGTACCTTATCAAATTTCTATCTGTGGGAAGACAAAACAGTGTAATAGCACTCATGGAAACATGATGGCACCTATTAAAAAAAAAAACTGAAATCAACATACTCATTAAGGCAGTAATCTATATTAAAGGATTATTGTGAGAATTTTTGTACAAAAAAAATCCAAAAAGTCATAAATAAAAGACTAGTTAAATACTATGTTAAGTATTAAATATTATATGCACATACTTGATAACTAAATTAAACCCTAGTATGCTCATACACAGGATATATTGCTTGATGAAAAATGGAACATGTGGAACTCTGAAAAGTAAATAATTCATAAGCTATGTTTACATGTGTATAATGGTAGGCTATATTTTCCTTCTGGTTTGTGAATCTCAGAACCTGGGAATAAGGTTAACTTTTTTTTTTTTACCTTTCTGTCATTTTGATTTTTATCAACACGTTATTACTTTACCCATATAAAAATCTGCCTTCTTTGCAGATACCAAATGATTAATTAATAGAAGGATAAAATCTGAAAAGGGCTATGATAGAAAGCAACACGTTTAGGCAGCCCTCCTGCCTATCTGTGATTATGCCGATGCCTCTATTTTTCTTTCTCCTTTTCCTAATAAATCTGTTCTTTTAAAATGAAAAAAAAAAAAAAAAGAAAGTAATGCATCTTGGAATATAACATTACACAATGTACCAGATAAATAATTTAGACTCATTGGACTCAATACCAAATTTTACTAATAATTTAAAAAATATATGTTATCAGGAAGCACAGTTAAAAGAAAGGTCCAGGGTCTCTAATACAATTGCCATCTCTTATCATACCACATCTGATACACTCTGACCTAAGTTAACAGAGGAGATTTATATGAGGTCTGTAATTACCTTACTTACAGAAGGGTCAGTTTATAAAATATTTTTATTTTATATTGAGTGTTACATATATTACAGTCTAACCAGCCATTATCCATAAATTCATATATTCCAACTTGTTTATAAGTAATTCAGATAAGGACCTTATTATAAGTGTTTCATAGAAAAAGACTACTACTAGTAATTTGCTGTGGTTGTACCAGTAGTTTTATAGTTAGTACGATATAAAGGGAGTAGTTCAAGTCACTTGCTTTCTTTCATTGCCTGGAACAGGCAGAGATTTTACTACAAAATGACAACATTAATACAGTAAATTTAAAATTTATGAATTAAGTACAATTGCTAAAATTGATGTAAATAGAAATGGATTGATAAATAGATGCATGAAAGCATAGAGAATTACTGAAATATCGAAAAATCTTAGAGATTCTATTTTTTTACAGCTGATATAGAACCAAGCATAGAAAGCCAGTATAGCCATCCTTTTAAAACCTACCTGTCCATGGTATATATGTACCACATCTTAAAGAGTATTCCTACTTCATAAATATATATATATATAAACACACATATCAGTTTACATCCAGGTTTATAAAAGTACATTAAGTGGAAGTCAAAGTGATACAGGAGATTCTTTATGAGTTTAGGTAAGGAAGATTCAGACAAAAAAAGCAATACCATAAAAATTGATCCATTTTCTTACATTAAAATTAAGAATTTATTCTCATTAAATATCAAAATAAAACGAGTAAAATGCTAAACTACAAAAAAATAAAAATAAAAAAATAAAACCTGCCTGTCCCTCAACTCTCTTTCAGGGTCTGTCAGGGTCATGTGGCACACAGTATAGATGGTAAAATTATCCCTGTGTGGTTGCCTTCTTAAGGTTTCTATTAGTTCCCCAAATTTCATACTAGAGGAGTCCAACACAAGAATTCATTTTTCAAGATTTAAGATACAAGAAATAATTTTATTTATAAAATGACAATGAAAAAGGATATATGTTTGCTGATTAAAAATGATCCCTTAAAATTCAATTTCAAATCTTTATGATGACAACCCAATTCATTTCTCCAAGCCCAAATGCCCCCTTTGTAAAATAGTGATTGTAATAATATTTTCACAATGTTAATGAGAGGATTTAATGATATAAATCTTGCTAGCTGCCTACTACAATGAAGGGGACATAGTAAGTTTTAGTTATCTATTGTTATGTAACACATTGTAATATTGGCTTAAAACAACAAACATTAGTGCTTCAGGAATCTGCGCACAGCTTAACCATGTTCAAAGCTTTTGTAAGGTTCAATCAAGCTGTTGACTAAGAATGGTATTTTAAAAACAAATGACAGTCACTTGATTGAAGGAGCAAAAATATTCCTTTGCTGGATATTTCTCAACCACTTTTCCAACTTTTTCACCAAATACATCAAATGTATAACAGTGATTGGAATTGTGGGGCAATGTATCCCGGTAATTAAAATGAGAAATAAATCTAAAATAACCAGAACGTCCAATCCCTCAACTTTTACTTATGGATTCCTTATGGAATTAAGATTGCTAAACAGCTGATTTAAACTTAAAAAGTATCCTGGATAATCTACATAGGCCCAATGTAGTCAAAAGATTTATAATTGTAGAAGAGGAAGCAAGAGTCTGAATTAGAATATTTGAATGTTACAAGCCGGATTTGAAGTGGGAGAAAAGGTGAACTTTAGAAGTCAAAGAACAAGGACATAGACTATCCTATAGTCTCCAGAAGAATATATTCTTGCCAACATTGATTTTGCTTAATGAGATTCAGACTGCTGACCTTAATAATTGTATATTAAAAACTTCATGTTGTTTTAAGCCATAAGTTTATGATAATTTGTTACAGCAGCAATGGGAAACTAATACAGGGGCTAAATCACTTAGGCTGCTATGTGATTTGTGTTAAGTCTTGCTGAGGTCAACTGGAAGTTTAATGAAGGGAAGATAAATTATATCAAAGATTAATTTGATAAAAGATGGGTTTCTGGGATAAATGGTGGCAATGAGATATAAGGTTGTTGGCAATAACACCGTTAAAAAAGAAATGATGGATAATCAGCAGGACTAATAGATAAACTGAAGGTGAGGATAAAGGAAAGGGAAGTACCTAGGGATATTTCTCAGTTTCCGTCTTGACTAGATACTGGTAATTATCATTGAGATGGGAAACACAGGAAGAAAAATAAATCCTTTGTTTTGGTAAAGGGGAGCTGTGTGTGTTGATACTTGAATCTCATTGAATTTGACATGATTTTGAGACATCCATGGGCAGAGTTGTCAGTGAACTATATCATAACATTAGATTTTAAATTTTAGAACTCTAAGCATATGAGTGGCATGAAAACAGAAAGAGTAAATTTAAGCATAGAATATATTGATTAAGAAACTGCCTCTGGGGTCACTGTGTAATGACTATCATGCTTCCTTACTCATTTGAAAAGAAAAAAATAGAATTACTGAGAAAGCTGTTATAAAAACTAAATGTGGTGAGTGTACAGCACAGTATCTGGAGTCAGTAAATTCTCAATAAATTATTAAATGGTCCCAAAATAACAGAGAACAGTGGACAAAAGAATGAGACTTAATCCCAATTCCTAACAAATCAGATACAGTTTCTGCCCTCAAAGAGTCTAGTTAGCTTCTTGAAGGCGGTGGTAATATATACACACATACATACATATCCTGGATAATTTATTTTTTATAAAATGGCACTGTCACATCCCCAGTGACCAGGTTACAATTTGGTGTAAAGGGATCAGGTACTTTGTAAATTTTGGCAGGATGGTTGGCAGGAGAAGAAAGATATAGGAGAAAGTAAGGAAGGCAGAGAAGAGGGAGTAGAAGAGATATAAAGAGTACAGGAAAGAAACACAGGAGACTGGAGGAAGAGTGAGCCATACAATGTGTCCATAAGGAAGCCAATGTAGTCATGTAGAACCTGCAGTGAGAAGAGGTGGCAGGAGTCTAACTATGGGGTGTGTTCGCAGTATCTGTGAGGATGACAGGTAGAAGGTCAGCTCTCTGGCCCGAGATTCAATCAACATGAATCTTCACCACCCAAATCCTTTCCCGGAACCACAGCTCTTTGGAGGCCATGAGAAATAAGCCAGCTACACATCAGCAAAGCTCTACACGTTCTATTTTGGTTTATCTGAGGAAATTGATTTGAGAGAGAAAAGTAATTCAACTGTGTTCCCCTTAAGCCAGGCCCTAGGACTGATTTCCCCAATTCTGAGGCACTCAGAAAGCCAGTATAGCCAGTACAGCCAGTATAGCCCTTCCGGGGGCCCCGCATTCGGAGCCTGGAATGCCGAGAGAGTGGGACCTCAAGAAGGTGTACTGGCCATTCCCGATCCGGTCAGGACGGAGGGACCACCGGGAAGGTGTGCGAGGGAAGCTGGAGTGGCGGGCGCAGTAGGCCGAGACCCGGACCGCCATGGAGCTGTATCTCAGCGCCTGCTCCAAGGCTGCTAATGTTGCAGCCTCCAAGACAGCCACTACTAGCATAGCCACGGATAACCAGCAGTGCGGAGATGTGAGTGGTAGCAACACTTGCCTGTTTGTCTTCTGCCAGCTGTAGGCCCACTGGGCTGGGTTTGGGGGGCAGGGAGAACCACAGATGCGGTCACGAGCTAGTAACCGTCCAGTTTTTGGCTCCTGGGGCGGCGCAACCAGGGGTGGTGGCTGGGGCTCACAAGCTGCAAGTGTGGCTATGGCGTGGTCGTAGAAATGGTGAACAGGGAAACGGGCGATCTTCAGGGCTATCCAGCAGGGCAGACCTCTTAGACTGATTGTATGAGTCTTAGGTTCCATTACTTAAAAGGAGTAGGTTGGCCTAAACTAAAGAATAATAGTGCAAAATAAAGACACAATTCTCCAATTGTATCTGACAGGGTGCACAAAAAACCCACTTTCCAGGAGTTGGAGCAGCTCAACTGCTGGATCTTCCTCTTGGGAAGAAGCTGCCTGTGATCCCAGGAAGCCATACTCTATACTACACTACAAATTTAAGTGAAAAGGTAAAGTAATTTTTGTTTTATGGTGGTTATCTTTGCCCTTTACTGTTTGGTGTTAATTTCAGGGGCTATATCATGTGTTTCCAAATTCCCACAAAGGGAATTTTCATTACATTCACAGAGTAAGATAATCAAGTATACATCTAACCCAAGGTACTGTTTAGGATGTATACCAACAACTCCATCTAGTATGGTTTGGATCGAACCATAGTAGAAAGTTTAGATTATTAGATCTGTCTTCATTTATAATTTATGGAAATATATTCACCTTTCTTTATAGTAACACTTCATATATACCAATTTAGTGAGATTTTATTTACTTAAGATACATGTTTGATTGAAAGGTGGAAGGTTAACTATGCTGGCCTGTATGTTATGATTTAATCAATATCAACTTGAACAGAACTCTCACTACAGAATACTTCTCTATTTTTTTTTTTTTGAGTCAAATTCTATTTTACAAAGTAAGAAAAAAATGGAGTTATATATGTAAATATGTTTAGGACTTTAATCTCCCTTTTTTGGAAGAAGGTTTTCCCTTACCTAGGAGATGCCATGATTTGTTTCAACTTTTCCACTCAGTCATTTTTCCAACTTAGAGTCTTAGTTTTTTTCATTTGGGGTCTTTTATAACTATTCCCACATGTCTTGTTAATACTTGTATGTCTTTGTTCACCTTGCCAGTCAAAAAGGCACACCGTTTAAGCCTCTTCTTCCCAATCTAAAAATGAGCCATTTTTCAAGATTCTTTCTGAATTATCGCAGTCCCCAATTAGCTTATATTTACTTAGAATTTGCATTTCCCTTGGCTTGTATTTTACTCAACATTACAATTTTAAATTGTAATTAATAATTTAAATCATACTGGGTTATAGTGTGTACTTCCTTCAATCCCTTTCATGAAAATTTTTTGTTCTCAGTGTTATCCCAACCTAAAACTTTCCCAGACTGTGACTCTGTAACATTGATGAAGGTTTAGTTTGGTTCTTTTCAAGTTTACTTTGATCAATTAGCAAAAAAAAATCTACAGCAAAGAATTCTAAGTGACCCATTTTCCCTTCTGCTGTCTGTGATGTCATCAGAAGTAGGTTCCCTTGGTATTTTACATTAATAAACATGTTTTCTTAAATTTTCTTTCTGAAAAAAAAATTTAATTTACTGTTTAAAAAATGTATCTGTTCTACTAGTATAAGGCGAGTTAACTAATAATATACCAACTTCACACAGCATGATTGAGTTATAGCCAAACAAACAAGCTTTCCTAAAGTGTGCTGAAACCTACTTCATTACTTTATCACTCCTCTTCAGATGTACACTTACCCATATTTTTGTCTCTATAAAACATTACTTCATTTGTCAACTACCTTCTTTAGTCAATATGTATTTTTAATTACATTTTTTTATTGAAGTAACCTTGATTTATAACATTGTGTATGATTTAAAGTTACAGGTTCACACCTCTTCAGATGTATGCTACCACACCACACCCACCATCAAAACACCCATAATCCTCCACCACCATAGTACACTGTTCTAGTGACTAAGATTTGGTGCTTTCAACTACTTTTTTTTTTTTTTTAAAGATTTACTTATTTATGCATACCAGAGCTGGGGCACAGGCCAGAGATGCGGGGGGTGAGAGGATCCATCAGCGACAGAGCAGGGAACAGAACAGGCAGACTGGCTGAAATATACTGCTGAGGGGAGCAGCGGGTGAGACAGGAAAGGTCTGACTTGCCATGTGGGTTTCTCCCTGGCTGGCTGGGGATCGAACTCATGCTGCAGAGGCTGCGGATTGCTTCATAGTGCGGTGCTTAACCCCTTGTGCCACCAGGGAGCCCCTCAACTACTTTTTTGAAAAATATCTTTTCTACTCTTCATTACCTTCAAACTGTCTTCATTTAATTTTAATTAGCCTGCATGATTTATTTGAAGATTGATTTTATGAGATCTTTCTTTTTCTTTAAATACAACCCTTTGATGAAGTAATACTTTATATTAGTTTTTTTTTTTTAAGTGAAATCATATATTTTTGATGACAGAAAGGTTACTCTGACTCGAATGAATGAATTTGTTTAAAAGGTGTTCTTTGTTTATAGGTCAGTTGCCCAAATTTGGTCTCAAGAAATACATATCATCACAGCTAAAAGTCAATATCTAAAAGAAGTTGATGGCTAAATGTCAATATCATAAGCCACTCTTTGACTCAATGATTGCTTCCCTCATTTAATATTTGTGGGTTTTATCACAAAGTAGGAACTGAGGCTTTTCCATATCAGGAATTGAGGCTTTTCCATATCAGCTGGTATCACCTGATTTAAGACATTGCCCTGTAGGATTCCTTTTTATGCCTTTTCAGGGAAGCATTGATAATTAGAGAATTCTACTTTATATTTTAGGCTCCTCAGAAGGGATTAAAGTCTAGTATTAAGCAAAAGGTTGGAAATTTACCAAGGATGCTTTTAAATGGGAAAGGAAATCTAGCATCCTATCAGGTTCCACCCATGTGTCCTTTTGCCTCCCACATATGAAGCATCTGCCCACTGACCTTGAGGAGGTACTTTTTAGGGCCTGATCCAGCTAGACTTACTGGTGTTTGTAATCTGACTGAGATGACTATAGCCACACTGAACACAGAGGTCACAAATTGGTACCTGCAGACTGGTATGGATTGGTACACAGTGTGTTAGTGTTAGGGGGAAAAGGATGTACTAAAGCAAATTCCATACAGGCTTTGTGGACTCCACCCCCACCCCAGGCCAAAGCCAAAGACACTGGAAACTCCAAATCCCATCACCACCAAAGGGAAGGTAGCTGGGACCTGAGGGTGGGGTTAAGCAGCCAGATGGATATAAAAGGCAGACACGTGGGCTTTGGGGGTCCCCCATTTTGGCTCTCCGCCAGCTCGCAGCATCCAGCCAGCTCTGAGAGTGACTTTGGGTTTCCAGGTCGTCGGATCAGGTAGGACGCATTAAAGACTTTATTTCCCTATTTTCTCCCTGAGTTGTACATTTTCCTTATTTCCTTTTCCCTTGTAAATAAACCTTTTATTTACCTTTTGTGTGTGTCTGTAGTGGAGTATTAATAAGTCCCTTTTAAGCGCACGGGTGAGGACCCACAGTCAGGAACCCATTCAATATCGGGGCTGCTCTATAACATTAGGTCTTATAAATGGAATAAGATAACAGAAAACAGGGTAGGTGCTCTTAGTTTATCACAATTCTCATCTAGTCCAATGATCAATTCCTACTTTGACATTTAGATTAAACTTCTTTTGTTCTGACCAGGAAAACTTAAAGCAAAAATTTAAAAAAAATGCAAAGATGACATTAAGACAATTTCTATACCTACTTACAGTCTTTCAGAGGTTTTCTCATAATCCCTTATCACCATCCTGTTATTGAAAAATTGACTAAGAAGCCACATACGCCCAAAATCCTATGACTATTAGGTGATATCTTATTCCTTTTATATGTTAATTAATACTGCATAAGATTGAGTTTAGTCTTTATTCATATGGAAAAGCCTCAGTTCCTGTCAATAACCTTTACAATTGATTCTTCCATGACTTAAAGTTTATATATAGACTTTATTGTTTTCTAACTGCAAAGCTGAGGTTGTTGGTTAACTTAGATAAGTTTCCCAGATACAATAACTCCTTAATTCGTCATTTTTTAACATCTGAGCTTTACTTCTATTTTTTGGTTAAAGTTGTTTCTATGAATCTAATTGAAAGAGTTTTTATTTTCCTCTAATTTTCAAATTATCAAGATTTAATCATAGTTAATATTGTCACTTTATCCTTTGAATGGGGTATTGACCTGAAAGTGGAAGAGGAAAAGGGAGAATCTTAGCATTAGCTTTATACACGAAACCAAATTTAATCCTATTCCCTTATTTTTCCTGTCCCCCTTTTCTCTGGTGCAGGACAGAGACTGATGAAAATAGGGGGAGGAAATAATTGAGAGAGTATGGCTTTTTAGAATAATTCAGGTCAATACAGAAAATTCAGGTCAATACAGAAAAGAGGTAAGATAAATAAGCAACATTATGCTATCCAGATCTTACTGTTGCTTTTTGTTCTTTCTTGAATTATTTTTGGATGCTTTATTTTAATGAACATTCTAGTCATTTCAATAGGTGACATTTAAAACAAATTCACTAATTTTACCTTTTTAATAATTTTAAACATGTTTTAATGTGTTTGCAGCTTTTTCGACCTTCTTATGATTTTAACCTGACTGATCCTTATTGTCGACTTTTGGAGAACCAGTATAAAAGTCTTCATGATCCACATTTAAGATCATATTATAAACGTAAAGATATCCTGAGGAAATTAAAGAAAGGTGGCTACATCACCAGCAATAATAAAGTGGGTTGAAGATTTCTTTTTAATCATTGAAAATCTCTAAGACTTGATAGAAACCTGTGCCTATACATCACTGGGGGCATGTATCACCTTTAACTTGTTATAAGTGATACTTAATGGGAAATTCTATACTGACTCAGTATTTAGAAGAAAGGAAATCAGGCAGTAGTTGTTTTGTAAATGAAGCTATTTTTCTTCCTTCACCATTTTTATTTGTAAAATCAAAATATTTACTAAATAATTTGAGGCCATAAAGATAATTTACTAACTGTACTAATTATACTATATGCTTGTCAAGGATAATGTCCAATACAGTTTTGAAAACTTGAAACAAGACAGAAACTGAGCAAAATAGAATCCTGAGAGATTGCATTCTTATTAGGGTTGAACATTATTATTAAATTGGTATTTTTAATATGTCCAATTATATGTACTAAATTCATTATCATGCCCACAAATCATATCAATAAAGTGATGTTATTTGGATAAACTTTCCCGTTGATTAACATTGCAGAGATAACAGTACTTACAAAATCATTAGCAATTTATTACTCTTGATACCAAAATACTATCAAATTGCGTGCCACTACCGTTACTGTTTGCAAAGTAATTGCTATGAATTTCAAATATTTGCATTTATGTATCTTTGTAGTTATTGTTGCTTTGTTTGTTTTGTTTTTTAGATTGTATGTACCTTGAGGGAATTGAATAAGTACAGGCAATATCTTACCAGTTTAAAATTAGACTTTGAAAGAAACTATATAAGAGAACAAGTAAGTTAAATACTTAAATTTGATTTCTTTATAAAGGGTTTGGGAGAAAAGTTTATTTGTATGCAAAGTAATGTAATATTTTTTATATTTAATTTTGACAAATTAATTAAATGATTTCCCAAGTGAAAATTTAGAGCATGAGTTAACAATATTTTCGGTTGCTATATGGACCAAGAAAACAGGAATAGGCAATATTTTGAGATTGCTATGGGACAAGAAAGGAAAAAGGGACCAGGTGACCTAATTACAGGTCAGTGATTGCTGCAGAAAATTAGTAATTAAATTGCTACACACAATTTGTCCCTTCAATAGAAAGAGTCTATTGTTGCAGTAAGATTCTTAAACTAAAACCCAAGACAACATGAGTAAAGGGGGAATAATATGTACAATTACAATATTCTACAGGTGACACAAAGAACATATAGAGTGTGTTTCTGTACCCACATGCATCCAGCTGTATTCATCCAATAAAAAAAAATGTTCTTAAAGGTGAAGTAGAATGACCTGATGTAGAGAATGTGGGTATAGATAGTGATCACCTCTCAATTTTTGACTCAAATTTTGTGTGAATATATGTGTATTGTAAGTACATGTGTGTGCATTTATATGTGAGTGATTCATATTTTAGGGTCAAATGTGTTGAATGAAAATAAGATATGTGTATATGGGCTTTTACAAATTTATGTTTTAAAGTTAAGAGTTAAGAGTTCTATATTTCTCCATTTCCCTTTCTGTGCCTTGAGTGTTTTGTTAACTTCTTTCATATTTTCATTTAATTTATTCAGAATGAGTAGAAAGATGAAATAAAATACTTATCTTTTATTATTGGTTCAGTTGTCTATGTCTGTAATGGATTCCAAATATATTTAAATGCAATTAAGCAATTATTTATTTACAAATACAAAAATTTTATTAAGTATAAAAGGGCATGCCAAAGGGAAAACTTTATTTTTCAGAAATGTAAAAAAAAAAAACTTATTTTCATACATATATATATATATATATACACACACACACACAAAGCTGATCTTCAAAAAAACATTGTTTTTTCAACATCATTGTGTTATAAAGTTGATGAGAAAAAAACAATCCTGACAAACAGTGGGAACTAAGCATTATTTGATGACCTGCTCTCATTATCTCTCACTTGACTTAAGCTCACAGTTTCCAAGAAAATATCAATGATGTTAAGTGAAGACTTACACACATAAATGATAATCTCACTTTTTTTTAAAATAGAAAATGCTTTCAAAACAAGTAAATAAACTACAGGAAAATAATCAATTTCCCGGACATTCTGATATTACAAGATTCCAAAATTGGTTGTTACAGGAGGGCACCCAACCCATTAAGGACCAGGAACAATTAATAAGACACAGGTAAGATTGAAGTTAATGCATTTTTATGTATATATTGTGGATCCAAATAACTTGGAAAATTATGAGAAAGAGTTTAAGGTAGGCGCAGTTTAATTCCACTATTGCCCTCAATATAAAAAGGTAGGGAGAGCAATTAATATGGGAATTGGGAACTAGAGGAAATTCCCCCTGGAGAAGATATGGTCCTGGGAGTCCAGGAGCTAATCCAAACTAATTGAAGGAACAAAACAGATCCAAAATATTTTGTATAATAGGAGATGAAGGGAAAGTATCTTTAGCGCTTGCATCTATTAATAGCTTTTTATGATTCTATTTAAGAGCAGACAACATTGGTCCTCCCCTGGTGGTGCAGTGGTTGAGCGCTGGGATGCAAAGCTGCCTGCAGCCTCTGCAGCGCTGGTTTGATCCCCGGCCATAGGGTGAGGGTCCCACATGGCATGCAGACCTCTCCTGCCGCCCTCTGCTCCCCTCAGCAGTGTACTTCTTTGTCAGTCTGCCTGTTCTTTTCCCTGCTCTGGCTCTGGTGAAGTCTCCCACCCTCCCGCACTTCTGACTGTACCCAGTGCTTGTATAAATAAATAAAATAAAATCTTAAAAAAAAAAAAGAGCAGACAGCATTAATTTTGAAGAAGTTAGTGCAAAGTTAAAAAAAAAGAAGTTTCATATTACAATTCATTGTCAATATAAGCATGTGTTGTCTCTAAAAAGCTCTGTAAACTCTTTAGATAGAATCTACTGAAAAATCACAATTGACCATTCTGTAGTCAAATGTATTTCTTAGGAAGTTAAGGGATATCATAGTTTTTTTCCTTCATTCTTTAACATGACCAATTGGGTTGCATTACTGGGTTTTTGAATTCCATTCTCATTTCATGATAGTTCAAGACTATATACTGACACAAAGATATCCAGATTCTAAATGGTAGACTTGTTCAAGTACTTGTAAATTATAAGGGACACGGTATACTACTTTTTCTTATGAACTCAAATCTGCTTATTCCATACTTGACTTTTCAGCTGAAAATTTTGCACATTCTTTTGCAAATTCATACTCCCAAACCTACCAAGTTAGTGTTCCACATTTTTCAATTGTCTTGGTCATAATAACAGATACTTATATAGTAGAAAGTATAACAAGTAAAGTATGGTCAGTGGGTCAGTTTGACTTAATGACCCTTGAACAGAACCAATAGATAAACTGTAAAATTCTTTCATTCAAGAAATAAAAAAACAAGTAATGAGGTAGATTAGGAATATCCAAGCATTATGAATGCCATCATAAGAGACACACCCAACTCACTTGTACTTATATTTGCACTTTTACTTAGGTATTTGAATATGATAAGTAAGGAATTAGAACACCTTGAGCGCACTGCAGAAGAGCAGCGCCTACTCCAGATGGAGAGAGAAGAAAGATATCAGCGGGAACAGGCAAGAAGAAAACTTAGTCTTCGTCGAAAAATGGAAGAGGTGAGAGATAAATAATTAAAAACATTGAGAGAGAGTTCCTTTTTCTCCACACCCTCACCAACATTTGTTGTTGTTAGTTTTTTTAATATGTGCCATTCTCACTGGTGTAAGATGGTATCTCATTGAGTTTTGATTTGCATTTCCCTGATTACAAGTGATGTTGACCATTTTTTCATATGCCTGTTGGCCATTTGCATTTCCTCTTCAGAGAAGTTTATTTTTAGCTCTTCTGCCCATTTTTTGACTGGATTATTTTCTTTGTTTTTGTTGAGTCTCATCAGCTCTTTGCAGATTTTTGTGATTAGTCCTTTATCATTAGTGTTGTGTGCAAAAATGTTCTCCCAGTCGGTGGGCTGTTGGTGGCAGTGCAAACTGGTGGCAATACAAACTGGAGAGCTGTGTGGAGATTTCTGGACCTACTAAACATAGAGCTTCCATATGATCCAGCAATTCCACTCCTAGGTATTTACCCAAAGGACTCAGAAACATCAATTCCAAAGAGCACCTGCACCCCTATGTTTATAGCAGCACTATTTACAATAGCTAAGCTTTGGAAACAACCCAAATGCCCAAAAATAGATGACTGGATCAAGAAGATATGGTACATATACACCATGGAATATTACTCAGCATTCAAACAAGATAAACACATGCAATTTGAAGCAACATGGATGGAGCTGGAAGGGATCATGCTCAGCGAAATAAGCCAGAAAGAAAAAGAAAAATACCGGATGGTCTCACTCATAGCAGGAATCTAGAAAACTTAAATAAGGGACCAGGAAAAAGAATAACTATAAGAAAGAAAATATCAAAATCAACAAACAACTATGAACCAGAGACACTCTATGGGGGGTGGGAGGCGGGGAAAGGTGGGATTGGGGTCAAAATAAGGGGGTTGTAATTGTATGGGGAATATAAAAATAAAATTTAAATTAAAGAGAGAAACATTGAGAGAAAAATTGTGTACAGTTGTTTCATTTGTAAATAAGTTTATCTGTCATATATCCTGAGTCATTTCAGATCTTTACCCATATTAATCTTTCTTCACAGATATAATAGACAAGTTGTTACATAAATCTTAAGGCTGAAGTCACAATGATACCACAAACTGTATAGATAAGCCAATATCTGCTCTGAAATATATGATCGTGAAAGTTACCAAACACTATTTAACTCCGCTCTAGCTCTTACTGTGGAGAGGCAAACATTCTTTGACTTAACTTTAGTGAAAAGTAACCATGCTTGTGTTCATAGGCTTTATTAGAAAGCCTATTCTAAAGCCAATGCATGACATTCATTATGCTTGACCTAATTTCTGCTAGGCCCTTGAATTGTTCTGATTTAATGGTGTACAAAATGCAGATTTTTATTGTGAACATGTATTGAACAAATGAACCTCATGCTTTCCAGGAATGGAAGACGAAAGAATTGTTACTTCTGACAAGGATTGGAGAAGATGTTAAAAGAGAAGCTAGGATAGAGGAACAGCGGCGTAGAAACAGAGAAGAAAGTGACAGGAAGGTAGGGTGACCTCTAACTTGAGCTATTGGAGGAACATTTAATCATTTTGGTTTTTGAAAGATTAGGCTTTTTGTGAGATAATGATTGGCCAGTTACCCTATATGACATACATTATACAAAACTAAAAGTTATGAAAAAATGCTATATATTAACGATACGAGATTCTGAGTGTAATATAATGCTGTCCTATTAGTTGATATAAATACTTTGACTTTATCTCACGCATTAAACTATATTTGTAGCATTTATAGTGAAAAATTACATATTAAGTTTTTCTTATAATCAGAATTTCTACAAACACGTTCTCACTTTTCTCCCACCAGTTATTTTTTTTTTTTCAGATACAAATTTGTTTTTTTCTAAGACTAAACTTTACAAAGAGGAGGCTTTGCTGTAGATCTTACTTTTTTAAATCCTTGTTTATTTTTTCAAAATACAGGCTTTCTTCCCTCAAGTGTGGTCACCACAGTTTTCCCACCTCTCAGTACCCACACATTCTCTACCACACTCCTCCACAATTTCCTTCCCCTGCCCATTCTCTTCTGTACTCTTTTCAACCAGTTAACTTTTTTTTTTTTTTTTTGTGGGACCCTCGCCGGTGGCTGGGGAACAAACCTGCGCTACAGAGGCTGCGGGCAGCCTCGCAACCCAGCGCTCAACCGCTGCGCCACTAGGGGAGGCCCTCAACCAGTTAACTTTTAAAGTAACTTTTTAATTTTAAGCATATAATATTTTCTGATTTAGAGTATAAATCAGTATAAAGAAGAGATAGTACTTGTAAATCCCTCACTACCCTATTCCTTCCAGGTTCATACATATATACACACCCATAATATTTTGTAAATATGTATCACAGTAAATAAATAAAAACCATGCTATTAGACCTCACAGACTACTTTGAGATTCTATTTTATTTAATAAAATTGACAATGCCTTGACAGTAAAAGTTTTCTAATATTCTAAATAATGACTCTAGGTAGGTTATAGTTGACAAACCTAGATGTAAGTGTAAGATTTACATAATTTGGTTATATCAATATATATAGCTATATTGTAATTTTTATTATTGAAAATTAAATATCTATGGTAATCTATTCTTTTTTAAAGCAACACTGCATTATAACATTAAATTTCAAGTATTCATAAGTAGGGATCAGCATGTGCATAAACTACAATTTAGGACCACTTCTTAAAGTCCAAATTTAACCTTCACCATACTATTGCCCCCTTCCACTCTGGTAACCTAATTCATTTTATGGTCCAATAGTTTGATTTTGTTTTATTTAGTTCATTTGTTTTTATATTTGTTATACCACATAGTAGTGACATAATACTATTTTTCTGTCTACCTTTTTTGACTAAGCATAATTCCTTCTAGGTCCATCCATTTGCATCCATTTGTAGTAAGTGGAAGATTTCATGTTTTTTATAGCTGGATAGTATTACACATCTGTGGAATTATAGTATATACCGTAATATGTATACTATATATAGTATTATATACTTATATTGATTGCATTGTATCACATTGCATTCCACATCTATAATGTAGAAAAGAAGCAGTGATAGTGAACATTAATATCAAATATTTTTTGGTCCCCTCCTGCCTCTCTGCACACCTATTAAGTTGCTTTATATTGTCCGACATCTCACTGATACTCTTTCAGAAACACTGTTCCTTAATAGATATTAATTAGTCTTTTCTTCTGCAGTGCCTACTTTAATGTTAAAAAAATTGATCTTGTTTCTTTTTATATCTTCCATGTCTATTCTGTGCTTCCTAACCATGGGATGCAGTTACATTTTTTCCCCTAATCCTTTAAGATGACTTTTTTTTTTTTCGCATTTTTGGTAGTTTTGTCAAACTCATATATTGATCAATTCTCCTGTTGGAAAGTTTAGTGAAAGCTCTTAGGTTCTTTCTGTTATGTTACCTTCCTCTTGTTATATTCAGGGTCAGGATTAGCCTGGGATTAACAAAAGGAAGCCACATTTCATGTATTATGCTGCATTACTTATGGTAAGTCTGAATGACTTTTGGTAAAGTCAGTTAGGAATTCTCTAGTTGAAGATGGCTATTTTCTAAATCACCTAAACCAAGCAGAAGAGCTGCAGATTAAGAGACCCTAACTGACGTAAAATTGGACAAATTCCCCAAAGGTGTGAAATGAGATAAATTGCAGCTAAGTGTTAAATCAATTCTTCATGCTTGCCCACAGATATAATTTACCACTTACCATCCTCTCAAATTTGTACTCATAAGTCATAAGGGAGGAATAACTATTCATTTCATATGTTCAGTCACATTTTAATATTTGTTTTATATTTCTAAACAACAAATTGCTGTTAACCAGTATATTTTCTTTAACATTTTAGAAACAAGCTCTTCTAGAGAAAAAAATGGCTTATCATTTACAAAAAATGCAAGGAAATGGCTGTAAAAGAGAAGACACAGAAAAAACTACATTTGATCACAGAGGACAAGATGGTACATATCTTGGATGTGAGAACATTTAAAAGATCATGTAGCTGTGTAAAAAGTGCTTTTCTATGTATTTTTAAAAATCCCTGTGTGGAACTCTGCTTATACTTCTCACCTGCTTTTGTACCAGGCACAGTTCTTAGAATTTCACTGTTTCAGTTCAAGTTGAAAAGTAGACATACATGTAAAATTTAAAACAACCAAAATAAATTTATCAAGTGATTTACTAGACAATTTTACCTAAACTTCAGACTAACACACTTCCTCTACTTAAAATGTATTTTCTGCTACCAAAACTTAAAAAATATTTTGTATGTAAGATTATTATTATTACATACCAATCTGGTGTTCTGCTTTGCTGCCACACAGAAAGGATAGTACCAGGAGAATAACACAAATGGAAGAACAAGGTTAAAGGTAGAAAAGGAAGGATGGAAGAAAAAATAAGGAAATGCGGAAAGGAGGAACATTAAGTCATGACGTTGCTATGCCAGTCTCTACCAGTTTCCCTTTATTACATATAAATGTATAGTGGTATTTATTACATTAAATTAAATTATGATATTAATTAAAATTTTATGGCAAGAATACAAAATTGTAGACTTCTTTCAATTATCTATGACTATATAGTATCAGTAAGGAATATGGTCATTCTTTATACATTTATTATCCTAGGATTCCTATCAATCCCATTTGTAGGTGAGACCCTCCTCATGCCACTTCAATACATTAATAACTAAAATTCATTGTATCTTTATTTTTACCAACCTCAAAACCATTTTATATAGTGGTAGCTAGTTACACTAAAATACCTATTATCATGATTTCTTCTCCTGGTCCAAGACTTAATGGTACTCATTGCCTCCTAAATGAAGCTCAGACTTCTTAGGTAGCTATTCACCACATCTAACCTAACCTTTGACTTTATTTCACATTACCTCCATGAAGAAAGCAGCTATTATCTAAGGGTGACATAGGGACTCTGGAGCCAAACTTTTACCGTTCCATGGTAAATAGCTTGGTCAAATTATTTAACCTATTTCAGTCAGAGTTTCATGATCTGAAAACAAAATTAATGCTTCTAAATAATTCCTACAGAGAACAAAAGTTCTTGCCCATAGTAAGCACTCAATTTATTTCATTATCCAGTCAAATGAGACAACTAATGATTCCTAAAACACTAATTACCTTTCCTAATCCTGTGCCTCTCTATTTATTCCAACTTTCTCAGTTTGAAACGATGCTCTCACTGTTTACATCTATCCAAATCCTACAGTTTTTAGAGTTTCATAAATGAAATTCCATAATCTTTTTTAAAAACCATAATTGAAGATCCCTGTCTTTCCATTCCCTATAATACTTTGTATTATTCTAATTTATTACATACTTTCCACTGTTTTAATGATCAGTAACATTGTAACTTTCACATTTGTGTTTCATAGACCATCGAATGTTTGGGGGGGCTGTGTGTGTGTGTGTGTGCAATACATTTTAAAATATATAAATCATTCCAAAATACTAATGGTATATTTTAGTGTGTACATACACATGTGTTGGTATATATTACATGTAGTATATATACATACCAAGTGCTATAATAGATATAACACATAGTCATAGCTATAGAATTATATATATTTATATATAATTTGCATGCACATATATTATCTATAATAAATATGAACGGATACACTATCAAAAGCACATGTGTGTGTATCTATACATATTTATACTAAATATATTCATATACTAAATATGTGCCTGAAGGATATTCTATCTCTCCTAGCATCTATCTTTTAACTTGGAGGGAGACCATTTCTAGAGTGATTGTAGTCCCTCCCATTCGATAGCTCTCCATTTTCTCCAGTACCTCCTCACAATCCCATACATAAATTACCTCATGGCTTACTTCCTCTTGAAAATTGAAAATATATTCTATCTTTGGTAATTTTGGCATCATTGTTATTAAACATAAATGTTTTATTACATTTTTTAAGCTTATCCAAAGAAGAAAAAGAAGATATATGATGATGCAAAGGTACTTTATCCTGCTGATGAACACAAAGCAAATAAAGAAACATATGGTAATTAAATATTTTGATAAGAATTAATAAACAGTTAATTGGGAAAATATTGAGTTTGGTTAAATGCTGATAAATCTTCTGTTCTCTATTGTCAAATGACTGATTTAGAATGATGCTATCCAATAATGAGTGAGCCTTTCTTTCAGAACTTGATCTCTAGTTAATAAGTATTTTGGACTTAATGTTATGCATCATTTTAGAAAAAAGTTAAACAAAAGGTATACTGATGTTAAAGGAACAGTATATGAAACCTAACAAATTGCAAGCTAATTTTTAATGCTTACAATGATTTTAGAAATCTCTGAAATGCACCATAAATTAAGTACATTAACTCCAATGCCATCATGAAGCCTATCAAAATATCATTTTATTTATCTAATACTATGTCATTGCATATTGTCTATTAGAGTTCACTGGATTAGGCAAGGAATCCAAATACCCACATAAAATTCCTTCATATAATAACATGACCAGAAGTATAAGACCATTAAAAATTAACAATATGCATCTCTTCTCACTTTTAAATTTCCAGGTGAAAAATTAAAATATGAAAGTTAGATCTCTTTGTCCTTAAAACATCAAAAATGTCCAAAAACTTCTCCTTGACTGTGATGTGAGTAGTCTCAAGACTCAGAAACCTGGGGAGAAATATGGTTGTCTTAACTGAGAATCCACCACTCTCAGGACCTCTGAAATGGAGTTAATTTCATTATGTTTCATGGGTCCCATTTTTAAAGTCCAAAGAGTTTTTCATAACACACCAAAGAGTTACTAAAACTCACAAAATTATGATGACACTATCCTGTAGCTACTCCATGTAGACAATAAAACTAGATTCTCAATTTTTAAAGCAGTTTTCTCATTAACTCTAGTGTTTAATGCAGTCCGAACTAGTCTTACCGGTATCAAAAAATCTCAGTGGTATTGGAGGTAAGGATGGTAAGTAGAAAATACCGTTTTCAGTCTCACAGGCTACCAGTCTTTCTTGGCAATTGTGCAGAGACCAGATCTGTAAATGTAACTAAGCATAGTGGGAGGCACATCCCATTAAAAGATGAATTCCAAAAACATATTGATCATACATTGGATGGGGGAGAGTGGTCTTTATATCTACTCTCCAATCTGTGTCAACTGTAATCCATTCTATGTTTTGTGAATTTTAAAATGTTCAGTGGTGACATCACAAGACAGTATGTATTATTAGAAGTAACTCTTTCTCGTTCACCATAATCAAACTAATTTCTCTTTTATCATCGAACCCTGAGTATGTATCCTGTACTGTCACACAGACACACAACCTTTACATTCTTATGTGCAATTTGCCCTAAGTTTTGTAGCCAGCGACTCTCCAAGTAGTGTTCACAGCCTTGAATTCCCTATGAACTGTTTATTATCTTGTTTCAGTATCAAACTATATATTCAAATTATTTAATAATTAATGAAATTCTTAATATCTATTCATAAATATGTTATTTATAGTTTGTTTTTTTAAGAAATCTGACACTGGTTTATAAGTTTACTGTCATGTATTTTTTTCATAATGTCTATTATTATTATTAGTGTTATCTGTAGACCCTGTGGTGCTAATATTTTTAATTCTCCTGATGTCGGAAATTGGTGTCATCTATTTAATCAATCTAGCTTATCACTTTTATTGAACCCAATGAGTCAGCTCTTCATTTTATTTCTTGTTTTTCTATTTCTTTGATTTTCAGTTTGATCTTCATTATTTAGTTTCTTGTCCTTGCTTAGTGTTAACAAGAAGGTAAAAGAATCAAACTCTGACATATTGCTGAGTTGTGTGTGAAAAAATAGAACTGCTTTGGAAAACAGTTTCTTCAAAGTTAAACATATATATTCCATACAACCTAGTCATTCCACTGTTAGATAATTATCAATAGATTTGCCCAATAGAAATGAAAAATTATGTCTCCACAAAGACTTGTGTGTGAAAGCTAATAAAAATGAACAAAGTATTAAAATATACAACAATGTAATATTGAGTGAAATAAGCCAAGCCAAATAATACATACAATATTATTTTATCCATGTACAAATGTAGAAAATTCACAGTAAACTGTGTGAGAGATACAGAGCACTGTTGTCAATGGATCGACGTAGAGAGGTAAATGGTTTACAAAAGCAAGAAGGTTTGAAAACTTTCAGGGGTTTTGGAAATGATTTTTCAACATCAGTGATGGTTTCATAATTGAGACATTTAAAAATTTATAAAAACACCCAATTTTAAAAAAATACAGCTTGTTGTATTCCAGTTATATTTCTAAGTTGTTTTTAAAAACATGGTGTTTGTCTTTCATTTACTTTTAGGATCTACAGTCAGTGGTATTCATCATTCTCGAAGTAATTTAAAGAATATTGCGAACACAAATTCAGTTGCTTGCCACTCAAATGTACAAGATAATGATACTGAACAAAAGGTATAAAATTATATCTCAAACTTTTGTATGGTGTTTCTTAATGTATCTAGTTAACTTTCACTTCTAAGAACAAGTTCCTTCACTAGCATGATACTAATTGGTTAAGGATATTAGGAGGTCTCATGAGAGCTGACCCCTTTATCTAAAAATGTTGAGTTACCTTTGTCCTATACTTATTAGGCAATTTAGCAGACTCTAAGCCAAACACATTTAACAATTGTAAACATAATAATAGCAAATATTTATTGATATTTACTGTTAGTCAAGCCCTGTAGTTATCCAGGAGACAAGGAAAATAAGAAAACTGGGTTACATCAATTACAAATATGAATAAGACATGGTTGCTCTTCTTGAGGATTCTTTGTCTATTGGGGAAGACCAACAGAGAAGACTGTTAATATAAAATGGAAAGGGTTGGAAATATATTGCCCTGAAACAAATTAAATGACTCTAAACTTTTCAGAACCAATATTAAATAAATTACCATGCCATTAAACAAAATATGGACTGCTGTAAAATGAACAAGTTTGTACATTGCTACATATTAAACTCATTTTTGAACTAGTTAAAATTAAAAAATTAAAAAGTTGTTAAAGTATCCTAGAAAGTTGAAAATATGTTTGGTGCGTAAGACAATTTTCAAGTAAACTTGATAAAGGGTGGAAAACTATTAATTTGGTTGATTGAAAATATACTTTAGAAGTGTAGTTACTAATGAATTTTTTTTCTTTAATGTGTGAAAAAGAGAGATGGAATGAATACTAAAAAAGATAGTGATGATAAAGGTAAGAAAAGGAAAAATGTTCATAACTGTCATTTTTAATTATATAATTATGGTTTCAGCATAGTTTTTCAAGTTGTTTGTTTTACTTAATTCAAAAATAAAGGATATTGTAAAATTGTTTATGAATATTGATGTTATGCTTAGCCCATTTATTTGAATGATTGATTAATGAGTACGGCTTTTGAAATGCAAAGTTTGGGACAGTTACTGTCCCTGCTATGCCTGTTTGTAAATGAAAGGTAGAGTAAGTTCCTGACACACGGTCATTCAGGACAGGACAGAATGACTCTATGTCAGAAAACTCTATGTCACCAGGAAGTTTTCCCTATTCACTGTAATCCTTCCCCACAAAATATTTCTTTTCTTCTACCTCCTCTCTGAGTGGAATATACAATAGTTAAGTTTTGCTGTACCTTGATAGACTGCTGTAAATTGCTAAAAATATTCTTATTCATATCTTACATACATACACAGAAAATTGCCAGAAAATGGAGACCACTTCAAATTCAATACAAAATCAAATTCATCATCATCCTGTTTTTCCTTTTTTCACTGAAGCATAAGACCTGAGTTATCTTTGACTTCTTCCTCTTTCTTATATTTTACCTCCCACAAATTGCTTCTTTTTGTCTGAACTGCTTCTTTGATCCTCACCAGTGGCCGGTGATCGAACCGGTGCTGCAGAGGATGCGGGCAGCTTCGCAGCCCAGTGCTCAACTGCTGTGCCACCAGGGAAGGCTCTCTTCTTACTCCTCTTAATCCTTCATACCTAACACCACACCTAATAGCAATTGTCCTAAAACACAATTTTGGCTATTCCTTTATTTAAGTTGTGAGTAGTATTCCACTATTTTTTTTTTAAGATTTGTTTATTTATACAAGCATTGGGGTATGGGCCAGAGGCATGGGAGGGTGAGAGAATTCACCAGAGACAAAGCGGGAAGCAAAACAAGCAGAAGGACCAAAAAACACTGCTGAGAGGAATAGCAGGCGAGACAGGAAAGGCAGGAGAGGTCTGCCATGCCGTGTGGGTATCTCTCTGGCTGGCAGGGAATCGAACCCACACTGCAGAAGCTGTGGACAGCTTCACAGCACTGCGCTTAACCCACAGTGCCACCGGGGAAGCCCTACACTGAATAGTAAATGAAATGCAAATAGTGAATTCTGGCATTGGGTTCTGTTTAGTCACAGGGATTAAGCAGGCATAATATTACATAAATTAAGATCAGATCACAGATTAAGGCTTTAAGAGTTGTTTTATAAAGCAATGGTGAGCCACTGGAAATTTGTAGATAGTGAACATCAATAAAATATCTTATTTTCTTGGATATAATACCTTAAATAAATTACGGATTGCTGTAAATCAGTGATTGTGGCAGTTCAACAGGAAGAATAATAGATTAATTCTATGCATTAACAATCACCATTGTTCCAGCAATAGTATCTTTTATTTAATGGTATTTCTTATTTCTGTAGGCATTACAGAAGTCTCAGCACAAAATTTTGCTATGTCAGCTCATATTTCAGCCACAAGAAAGTTTAACAAACCTTCACAATCTTATTTGGAGCCTCCAAAACATGAGGTATATGATATTTCTTTTGTCCCATTTATTTGCTTTGCCCATTCTTTTGCAAGTGGAATAAATGAGGTATAATCTTATGACCATCATTGGCATGAAACAATTTCATTTATGAAGTGATCATACAGAATAGTTTTATTCTCTAAAATTGATCATATTTCAATAGAGTCATAGCCCTAGGTATGAATAGTCTTCTTAAACATAGACTATAACATAGTTTTTCCCAGTGTACCTCAACCTTCAGCAGAAGAATCAAATTCACTTTACTTTGACTAATACTGATGGATTGTTCAGAGATAGACAACCAATCTTTCCTCATGCCCTTTTTACAAGTAATGTTGAAAAGTCACCAGCAAAGATTCAGGGTGTGTCTTCCAGTATGGCTAGACTCTGCAAACAATGTAATTTTTTGCTGAACATCTAATTTCCTTTGAGGAGATTGGAGTTTTGGTATGCACTAAAGCAAAGGATATTTTCATGACCAGCCATCAGTAAAATCCTTGAGGGTTGAGTATTTAATGGACTTTTCTAGGGAGAAACATTGTACATAGGGTACTGCATTTTTTTTTAATGCCAGAGAAAAGAATATCCTCCAGTGTGCCCTTTTATAGGAAGGGGAGGCATAGGATTTTGTGCATGGATTTTTCCCAGAGTCAGTGTGTATCTCTTCTTATTACTTATCCTATAGTATATCCTTTTACTATAACAAATTTTGGATGTGAGTTTAACCATATGCTGAGTCCCACAAAACTCTGCAAAACACCAAATATTTAGATGGTCTTATGGACCTCCTTTTATATAACTATCAGCTTTTGAATTTTATAAATAATACATGTAATATAAACACTGTAGAATGGGTGCATTTCATAAAAAATTGACATTTAAGAGAATTTTCAAAATCTTCTATTTCTGTATTTTCAAATATATAAATAAAAGTTGACATTAAAATCTTGGGAAAAAATCGTCTTTGTTGTTGTTGCTTAAATTATGTAGGAGAGAAATGGCGACTGGAATGAAAAGCCAAATAAGAAATCAAGCTACATCGGTGAAACAAGTAAGCATCAGTAACAGCTATTGAGTAAATCATGCAATCCATCCATTCTTTCACTAATATTTATTATGGTCCTGCTTCATGCCAGGTATGGTGCTAAATATTAAATTAAAAAACACATGGTTCTTATCCAGGGCTGTTGTAGGGGAGTGAAGAGATAATCACATTGGTAATCACAACTTAATATGATAAATGCAATGCAGAAAGTAGACATTGGTAGGGAGGATGGATTAAACAGTGCCTTCATGTACCTAAGGGCCATGCTTGAGACATTAAGTGTATGAAGGATTTTTCTAGTTTAATTTTGTGAAAATCAATACTTTTAAAGTGAAATAGTCTGTTACATTGAATGTTAACATTGAATATTGAATGTTAACCATTCTATTTCCCTGGCTGGTTTTATGCTTAATTCTTTTTCTAAGTTACCATTTTCTACCATGTTTATAAATATTTTGTATAAATAAGACTTAATACACATTATTGGTACCTTTTGGTTTATAGAGAGAAACAAAACTTAACATTTAAACTTGACTTTAAACTGACTTTATTATTAACATTACTTTCCTTAACCAAGTTATTCTTTTTTCTCCAATAGATTTATTCACTTGTATATTTTCATAATTGATATATACCATTCTGGTATATCTTCATAAATATATTTGTATCTAGAGTATATACTAAAACCCAGTGATGAAATCTTGCTAGATTACATGCAAAGCAAGTTAGAAGATATTTGATTAGGAAGAGATTAATAACAAATCAGTAAGTAGAGGAAATATAATAATGATATATTCAACAAATATTTACTCTTTATGAATGTTAAGGATATAGTAGTTAATTTATATCACAGTGTAACAGAAGAGTATATATTTAATTATGATATATAATAATGAGTTTACAGAGAAACACGGTATGTTTTAGGAGAACTGAAGATGAGTATTTATTTATTTAGACAAGTTTTAAGGAAGGCTTTCTAGAGGAGTTAATACAAAGTGAATGAGACCTAAAAAATGAGAACAGAGAGAGGACAGGTTACTCCAGACAAAGGAAATAGTAAAATCAAGGGCACATGGGCATGGAAAACATGATATATTTAGGGAAATCATAAATTATTCTTTGTCTCTGGACCATATAATACATATGGAAGATTAGCCCAAGACACTGAGAGAGCAAGATAAGAACAGCAGGTGGTATACTACATTTTAGGTCTTGCTAAAGATTTTGGACCTCATTGTGGAGAGACAGCAGAGAACATCTACTGTAAGATATGGCTGATAGTTTTACAAGTTGTTCAGGAAGAACAAACTAATTATAATTTTCTTCCTCTGATACAGAATCTCAGGCTCATACTACAGCCCAGGATATTTTCCCTACTTGTGCTTTCTCGAATGCGTAAGTAGCTAAGAAAATTAATATGTAATTACAAATTAATATTTTAGCAATTGCATTCATGTTATTTCAAGCACATTATTACATGAAATTCTCTTCATCTTGTAGTTCTGCTTGCATTAATGAAAATTTGGCCTTTTGCAAACTTCTTAGTGTTAAGATTGAACTGTAATGTAGACAAAGTAAATCGTTTTCTTCCTCTTCTACTTCTATTTCTTTATTCCCACTGGGTTTTATACTTGCTTAGAATTTAGAGAGTTTATGCCAGTTTCAAGTATGTCCTACATGACCTCTCCTCTTCAGGTAGTTTTCCATGATTTGAATTTGCCTCTTTGCTTTTTTACCTTTTTTTTCCCCTTTGAAACATTACCTACTCCTCAGACCTTTTGAGATTATTGGCTTCCTAAGGATGACAGTTTACTGTATTAATGACTTAATCAGTTATTCCACTTCTGAAGGATATCTACAATGAAATCCAAAATAAAAACACCTAATTACAGAAATTTCAGGTCTTTGGAGAAGAAATTTTGACAGCTTGAAGGCTTTTCATTCCTCAAAACTTGGTGGGCACCTACTCTATTGGTATTTATGTATTCTCTTCTTAACTTGAGAGAAAGAAGAAAAGTTCTAATTTTGGACCCATCTTATCACCTTCTGAAAATACATAGTTGCAAATTAAGGTTTGTAGACTTTTAAAAAAGAAACCCAATTCCTAGGAAAATTATTGCATAAAATAGTTGGATAAAACTGAGTTTAATGTGGCATTAACATATTCAAATCAAGTTTCATTGGAAGAAGGATCTTGACTTTAGGACTGGCAGGTATCAGTTTTCTGATTTACTGAAGACTCATAGACCACATAGCACTGTCACAGATTTATGCCTCTTTATTCCCCCCTCACCCCAAATTATAAAACTACAGAATCACTTGAATCTTTCATAGCAAATTGTTTGGTTACTCTTTCAACTATATTTAGCTTAGCTCAGCTATGATTACTTACTCCCTGCATGACCTGGGACTTCCTTACCTCTCCTTCAAAATTACTTTTGAATGGACAGGGGAGGAAAGAGCACAAGAGACAATGGTGATGGTGCATGGTGAACTGGTGGTGGGAATTTTACAGGGACTACATCTGAAAGGAGAAAGCAAACATTGTACAAAAAGAATGATGTAAAATATATGTAAAATAAAAAAAGGTGGATTAAGAAGTTGAATTTTCCAATAGATATAACTTTTATGCAGAAGCTATAATTCTACAATTTGACTATAATTCTATAATATGAATAATCATATTCCTGAATACAGAAGCTAGTGTCAAAGGAAAGGAGGTGCAGAGGAAGGGATAAACAAAAATAAAGGTTATTCTTCCTGTTGAATTTCTGAAGGAAAACACTAATATATAGAGAAGAAACTGATTCATTGATTAAAAGTTTTAGATGGTTTGCATAAATTCTTTACCATAAATAATAACTAAATAGCCAACCTTTCTTAACTTTATAGACAACAGAAGCTCCCCCAAAGACACTTGCAGGAAAAAGTATGTATTATAAAATTCATTGATAAAATAACATATTTTACAATGGTATTTTCTAATGTGTCATAACAGAAAAAAAACTGTGAATTAAATAATAAATAATCACCTATTGGTATGGTATTAGTCAGTTTTTCTCTTTGTCTTCTTAAAGTTTACTTTTAGTTAATTATCTTGTTTTATAATGGTTTAAAGTTTTTAGCAAATAGAAAAGTTTGATTCAAGGAAATAATTCTCATTTCAATATTATAATGAAAAGTAGGTTATATTTGCCAGAAGTAGGTTATATTATAGGACTTACTTACAAAAATTTAAGTATAGTTTTCAAGTGTCACTGTTGGAAACTTTCACACTTATTGCTATTATCTCTAGCAATAAGAAAAATAATCAGTATTAAATACATTAGTTTATATGTATTGAGTGGTTTAGAACAATTTCTCTGTTAAAATTTAGATTTTATTCTCAAAATGTTTGATTTAGGATGTGATTAGACAAGTACTACACAACATATGTTATCATCCAAAATGCGTTTTTCGGGCCTCCCTGGTGGCTCAGCGGTTGAGTGCTGGGTTGCGAAGCTGCCTGCAGCCTCTGCAGCACCGGTTCGATCCCTGGCTGCTCCCCGGCCACCAGAGGAGGGTCCCACATGGCGCGCAGACCTCTCCTGCCACCTGCTGCTCCACTCAGCAGTGTATTTCAGTCCTTCTGCCTGCTCTGCTCCACTCTCTGGCTCTGGTGAATTCTCTCACCCTCCCGCACTTCTGACTGTACCCAGTGCATGTATAAACAAAATAAACAGGAGAAGGCGGAGCAACATGGCGGCGAGGAGACGCTGCGAGTAATATCTCCCATTAAAAAAAGTTAATAGGGAGGAAAAACGGCAGGTCCCAGTGAGAACTGGGACACGGAAGATAAACGGGTGACTCCAGCAAACTACCTGAAGAAGAAAGTTGCCATAAAAGAGGACTAGAAGGGAGGAAAGCGCAGAACTCTGCTCCCCTCCCCCACCCACAAAGTCGGCACTCTCCGACCAGCAGAGAGGAGTTAAAAAACAAACTAAAACGATCAACAAGAACAAACTACGCATCAAGCAGGACTGTGAGTGGAAAGGAACTATTTCAACCGCCACACCCTGTGAACAGGAGCTGTGGAGAACCCTGCAGGATTCGCCACTGCGGTGAGCTAACAGCTCCGGGCACCATTAGAGAACAACAAAGACCACCGGAGGAGACCCGCACACAGCCCCAGGCCGACCAGTAAGCTTGCGCCGAAAACTGGTGCGCTTGGTGCGCTTGAAAAGCAAACGCGGATCGGGATCGCAGCTGCCCAGGTCCCCGCGCCTGCGACCTAGGCTTGCTGGGAGATGCGCAGAGGCCCTCACTGAGGTGAAAGTCCCTCACTGAGTAACCAGGAACCAGGCGCCCAGGCACGGGAGCAGGGTGCAAAAGGCGCCATTCCCGCGCCACTGAACTGGGCTACAGCCCGTGTCCTGGACCTGAGGGCTTTGGAACTGAGACCCGGGGCACGAAATTCGGGGTGTGGGTTCTCCACGACGGTGGGGCACAAGGCAGACACAGCACCCCAAAGCCGTTGAGGTTTACCCTACCATTCCCGCTCTGATCCCTGTCCCACCGGGGGGGGGGGTCAAAAAACAGCCCACCAAGGACAATAGGAGAGATCTCTGGCGCCACTTAGCGACCAGAAAAAAAAAGTCACTAACTCCCCATAAAACAGGGAAATTTCTTAAGAAAAGACTTCTTGAAAAGAGCAGAAGGCTTCCGGAGGACCCAGTGGCCAGCTGGGAAGTTAGCCCACGCCAGGCCCCTTCCGACCAGCAGTCTGAGCCCACAGAGGGAGCAGGCACCCACATCCGGGGCAGACTGGGCACGCAGAAGAGAGTGCCTGAGACAGGATGCGCAGGGACTGCATCCTGCTTCACCATTTTAGAACAGGGACATTTCTTCAGTAAAGACCGCCTGAAACCAGCAGAAAGCTCCCTCAGAAGCCAGAGATGGCTCCTGGAGGAGCCAGAGGGGAGCGGAGAAGTTCACCCAAGATGCCGGCCAGTCCGAGCAACACAGTGTCCCAATGCATACGACAAATTAGAAAACAGACAGTAGGGAGTAGAAGAACCACACGCAACCTAACAACTCCTCAGGAAAGAAGCACACGACAAAAAGAAAACCACCCCCAGATTGCAACGACAGTAACTTGGAAGAACTTCTGAGCCTTCCAGAAAGAGAATTTAAAATTGCCATGATTAAAAAAATGACAGATATCATAAAGGAAAACAGTGATCAGAAGAAGGAAATTGAGTCCCTAAAGAGGGAAAACAATGGTCAGAAGAATGAAATTGAGTCCCTAAAGAGGGAAGTAAAAGAAACGCAGGAGATCAAAGAATTAATGGAGGAACTAAAGAACTCTGGGAAAAGCAATGAAAGCAGAATAGATGAAATGGAAGAATGAATAAGTACTCTTGAAGACACAGAAATAAAAAGAACCAAAACAGAAAAGGAAAGAGAAGTATGAAGGAAAAAGAATGAAGAAAGACTTCGGAACTATCTGACTCCATGAGGAAAGGAAATATAAGAGTTATAGGAATTCCAGAAGGAGAGGAGAGAGATGTAGGAACAGAGAAAATATTCCAGGAGATAATTGAAGAGAACTTCCCAAATGCGAAGAAGGAGCTAAAAATTGATATACAAGAAGCAAGAAGAACACCAAACTTCCACGACGAAAGGAAAAATACAGCAAGACACATAATAGTAAAGCTCCCAAGAATCCAGGACAAGGAAAAAATAATGAAGCTGATAAGAGGGAAGAAACAGATAACATTCAAAGGAAAGCCAATCAGGCTGACATCAGACTTCTCCGAAGAAACACTACAGGCAAGGAGAGAGTGGAGGGACATAGTCAACAGACTCCAAGAAAACAGATGCCAACCAACAATACTCTATCCCACAAAGCTCTCCTTCCTCTATGAAGAAAGAATAAGGACCTTCCCAGACAAACAGAAACTCTGGAATTTCATTACAAATAAACCCCCACTCCAAAAAATACTACAAGGAATCCTAAAGCCAGAACCACAGAGGGGCGAATAACAACGAAAGAAGGCAAAAAAAAAGTTATTAAAAGAATAAATAAATAAAATCAAAGGAAAGACAAACACAATGACAAATACAGATGCTAACATATCAATATTAACTCTAAATGTAAATGGACTAAACTCTTCAATAAAAAGACACAGAGTTGCAGCCTGGATTAAGAAACAAAACCCAACCTTTTGCTGTCTCCAGGAAACACATTTAGCTACAAAAGATAAAAAAGGGTCAAAGCTAAAGGATGGAAAACAATCCTACAAGCAAATGGACCAAAAAAGAAAGCAGGAACAGCTATACTTATATCAGATAAAACAGATTTCAAACTCAAAAAGATAAAAAGACCCCAATGGTCACTACATTATGATCAAGGGGACAATACTTCAAGAAGAAATAACACTCATTAACATATATTCACCAAACGAAGGAGCACCAAAATATATCAGACAACTATTGTCATCTCTGAAAACAGACATCAGAGAAAACACATACGTAGTGGGAGACTTCAACACACCACTATCAACAATGGATAGATCAACAAGACAAAAAATAAGTAAAGAAACTAAAGCTCTAAATAAGGACCTAGAGCATTTGGGCTTAACAGACATCTATAGAACACTAAACCCCCAAAAAACGGACTACACATTTTTCTCAAGTGCACACGGATCATTCTCCAGGATCGATCACATACTGGGGCACAAGACAAACATCAACAGATACACCAAGTTTGAAATCATACCAGCCATCTTTTCTGACCATGAAGGCATCAAACTAGAAATAAACCATAAAAAGAAGGTTAGGAACTATCCTACCTCATGGAGATTAAAAACCACACTACTGGAAGACCACTGGACTAACAAGGAGATCAAAGAAGAAATTAAAAAATTCTTTGAATTGAATGACAAGGAGGACACCAATATCCTAAATGTATGGGATGCAGCAAAAGCAGTAATAAGAGGAAAATATATTGCAATAGAAGCTCACATCAAAAACAAGAAAGAACTCAAAGAAACAACCTAATCTCGAAGCTTAGATATCCAGAAAAAGAACAACAAAAAAACCCAAAACCAGTAGAAGAAAGAAATAATAAAAACCAAGCAGAAATAAATGAAATTGAAACTAAAAAAACAATCCAAAAGATCAATGAAACCAAGAGCTGGTTCTTTGAAAAAATCAATAAAATAGACAAACCCCTAGCCAGGCTCACAAAGGAAAAAGGGAGAAAGCACAAAGAAACAGGATCATAAATGAAAGAGGAAAATCACAACGGACACAGCAGAAATCAAAAGAATAATCAGTAACTACTATGAACAGTTATATGGAAACAAGTTCAACAATCTAGAGGAGATGGACAAATTCCTACAACTCTGCAATCACCCAAAGCTAGATAAAGAAGAAATAGAACACCTAAACAGAGCAATTACAAGCAGCAAAATTTAAATGGTAATCAAAAACCTCCCCAAAAACAAAAGCACAGGACCTGATGGATTTACAAATGAATTCTACCAAACATTCAGAGACGAATTAGTGCCTATTCTTCACAAACTCTTCCAAAAAATTGAGAAGGAAGGGACAATACCAAACATATTCTATGAAGCCAACATTACACTAATACCAAAACCGAACAAGGACAACACAAAAAAGGAAAACTACAGGCCAATCTCCCTAATGAACACTGATGCAAAAATCCTCAATAAAATTTTAGCTATCAGAATCCAACAATGTATCCATAAGATAATTCACCACGACCAAGTAGGATTCATTCCAGGGACACAAGGATGGTTTGACATCCGAAAATCAATCAACGTTATCCAACACATCAACAAAAAGAAATATAAAAACCATATGATAATATCAATAGATGCTGAGAAAGCTTTCGACAAAGTGCAACACCCATTCATGATAAAAGCCCTTGAAATTCTTGGGATACAAGGAACATACCTCAACATCATAAAGGCCATGTATGACAAGCCAACAGCCAGTATCATTCTCAATGGTGAAAAGCTGAAAGCAATTCCATTAAGATCTGGAACAAGACAAGGATATCCACTCTCACCACTGCTTTTCAATATAATACTGGAAGTCCTAGCCAGAGCAATAAGACAAGAGAAAGACATACAAGGAATCCAAATAGGAAAAGAAGAAGTCAAACTATCACTATTTGCAGATGACATGATAATATACACAGAGAACCCCAAAAACTCCACAGAAAAACTAATTCAACTCATCAATCAGTTCAGTAAAGTGGCAGGATACAAAATCAACACGCAAAAGTCAGTAGCCTTCCTATACACAAACAATAAATCTGAAGAAGCAGAAATCAAAAAACCATCCCTTTTACTATCAAAACAAAAAAAATCAAATATTTGGGAATAAATCTAACAAAAGAGGTAAAGGACCTATACAAAGAAAACTATAAAACACTGTTAAAAGAAATAGAAGAAGACACAAAGAAATGGAAAGACATCCCCTGCTCATGGATTGGAAGAATAAACATTATTAAAATGGCCTTCCTACCAAAAGCAATCTACAGATTCAATGCTATTCCAATTAAAATTTCAATGTCATTCTTCAAAGAAATAGAACAATTATTGATGAAATTCATATGGAATCACAAAAAAACCCGAATAGCCAAAGCTCTCCTGAAAAAAAAAGAAGGAAATGTAGGCATCACCCTCCCAGACTTCAAACTATACTACAAAGCCATAATCATCAAAACTGCATGGTATTGGAACAAGAACAGACATACAGACCAATGGAATTGAATAGAAAATCCAGAAATAAACCCACAGATTTATGGTCAACTAATCTTTGACAAAGGAGCAAAGACTATGCATTGGAGCAAAGAAAGTTTGTTCAATAAATGGTGCTGGGAAAACTGGGTCGCTACATGCAAAAGAATGAAGCTTGACCACTACCTCACACCATACACAAAAATCAACTCAAAATGGATTAAAGAACTAGACATAAGATCTGAAACCATAAATACATTGAAGGAAATATAGGCGAAACACTACGTGATATTCACATCAAAGACATCTTTACAGACACATCACCCAAAGCAGTGATAGTGAAGGCAAAGATAAACAGCTGGGACTACATCAAATTAAAGAGCTTCTGCACAGCAAAAGAGACAATAACAAAAACAAAGAGAAACCCCACCGACTGGGAGAACATTTTTGCACCCAACACTAATGATAAAGGACTGATCACAAAAATCTGCAAAGAGCTGATGAGACTCAACAACAACAAAGAAAATAATCCAGTCAAAAAATGGGCAGAAGAGCTAAAAAGAAACTTCTCTGAAGAGGAAATGCAAATGGCCAACAGACATATGAAAAATGTTCAACATCACTTGTAATCAGGGAAATGCAAATCAAAACTACCATGAGATACCATCTCACACCAGTGAGAATGGCACATATTAAAAAAACTAGCAACAACAAATGTTGGCGAGGTTGTGGAGAAAAAGGAACTCTTCTACACTGTTGGTGGGAGTGCAAACTGGTCCAACCACTATGGAGAGCTGTGTGGAGATTTCTGGACCTACTAAACATAGAGCTTCCATATGATCCAGCAATTCCACTCCTAGGTATTTACCCAAAGGACTCAGAAACATCAATTCCAAAGAGCACCTTCACCCCTATGTTTATAGCAGCACTATTTACAATAGCTAAGCTTTGGAAACAACCCAAATGCCCAAAAATAGATGACTGGATCAAGAAGATGTGGTACATATATACCATGGAATATTACTCAGCATTCAAAAAAGATAAACACATGCAATTTGCAGCAGCATGGATGGCGCTGGAAGGGATCATGCTCAGCGAAATAAACCAAAAAGAAAAGAAAAATACCGGATAGTCTCACTCATAGCAGGAATCTAGAAAACTTAAATAAGGGACCAGGAAAATGAATAACTATCAGAAAGTGAAAATCAAAATCAACAAAAAACTGTGAACCAGAGACACTTTTTGGGGGGTGGGGGGCAGGAGGGGAGGGATTGGGATCAGAATGGGGGGGCTGCAATTGTATGAGGGAATATAAAAGTAAAATTTATTATGTTAAAAAAATAAATTAAATAAATAAATAAATAAATAAAACATGCCTCTATAAAAAAAAATGCATTTTTCAAGTTACTAGCCATTGTCTTTACAATAAGTGAAAAAAATACTGGGAGATTTGGGGATTAGACTAAGCAGAAAAAAATGACTTTCCTGAAGTGCCCCCAAACATTTTCAATTGTGTCTAGAGAAACTGTGCTGCATAGGTGATAACTTTCCTTTGAATATTTACCTGAAATGTGAATAATTCAATGCTAACTAAAGCAATATTTTGGGTGTGAAAGCACAATTTTAGGAATCCTAGTGTTTCTAGCCTGGTACTTAGTACAAGTCTTAGAGACTTTGCTGCTAGTTACTTGTGTTTTTGACTTAGGAATACGGATAATTTTAGAACAGACTACTAAGTTCTTATGGGCAAGAAGACTTTTTGCAAGCCCAAAATATATTTTCAGTAAGTAAGTAGAGGTATATAGATTTCTACAGCTGCCTTTTTTCTATTCCTGGTCTAGTTCAATCTATGACCAAGGATATGGTCTTTTAAATCTGGTCTCTGGATTTTATTTTCAGTTCACAATGTGGAATTTTCCTGACTCTCTGGGTCCCAGTTCTAGCTTAGTACTTCTTTTCTTTTTCTTTTCTTTTCTTTTCTTTTTTTTTTTTTTGGTGGGGAGGGGTGGCATCATTTTTTATTGAGTCACCATTGTCTTACAACACTGTACATGAGTCATAGGTATATGCTGACACATCTTCAGATATATGAGAATCATTTTGTCTAGCTAGGCAGTAAGCCATCTGTTTTCCCTATTCCCTGATAGAAGAATGAGTCTGTGATCTGTATATATGGAAAATACTACAGCTAATTGTTAATTATTTGATAGAAACAAAAATAAGTTAAGCTTTAAAGATTTTTAATGGCTTTGCATGCAACAGAGTATCATTGCAAACTGTCTTACATAGGAAGGCTGAGAAAAGATGCAGGAAGAACAAATAAATTAGTTTAGATTGAATATAAGGGGCACTGGATGAAATGTCCCTTATATTCTATCTAAGCTAATTTGTTGATTTACTTTTTACTAAATAGTCAATTTTCCCAGCAATAAAAGTTTAAATGTTAAAAAAAAAAAAACCTCTGAGGGAATGTGAATCAAAAGAAAATTTATGAATAAAATAAAAAGTACTTTACTGTAGAACAGAATAAACCAACTTGAAATTAATCTGAAATTCTAAATAGATTCTTTATAGTTCTCTTTATAACCATGATGGTATTCAGCTAAGAAGAGTTTCCTATAAAAAGTTATATACCACCCTCTATTCCAAAACAGAGTAAGAGTTGCTACCTGATTTTCTTTTCATTCTTGTTTACCTCTCTTTCAGGTAACTTCTGAAGAACTGAATAGTATAATTCATAATATAATGACCTGGGTTGTGGCTACAGTGACTAGCATATTATACCCAGCCATCACAAAGTATGAACAAAGATTGAGAAACAATGTATACCCTGTGTCTGAGGACTCTATCCTCTCTTCAGATAGTTCGAGTTTCTGTAGCACATGCAGTGAAGAATTTACATATAGAAGCTACACATCAGCAACAACTAAAGCCTTTCAGGGAGAGCCCTGTGCATTTGCAGTTGACATATCAGTAAGACAACCAACCACAACTTTAAAACCACCTTCTGCCCATGTGGAAAGAACAGTTGTTGGAAAAACGTATCACTTGAAAGGACAATCTATAACATCTGAACTCAAATATAATAAAACCAGCATGACATATGTATGCCCTGGGCTAAGAAGTAGTAAATCCGATAGTCACCTTTTAACAGCATTTGAAACAGCCACCAAAAAGTGTAAGGATGCAGCCACTGAAACAGATAACTTAGAGAGTTCACTGCTTTCTGATCAAAAAGCAAAAGCCGTGAATGAAGTGAAAAATTTAAACAATGTTTTTGTTAACTTTAGGTGTCACTTAAAAGGAGAAACTGAATTGATTTTAGAAAGCATCTTTCAAGAAATAATGTCTGATTTAACACAGGCTATTCCCTCTCTTTCTTCTGTAACTGCTGAAGTTTTTGTTGACCCAGGTGAGCCTGAAAAAGATGTCCTCTCCGATGTTGATATAGCATCAGTAGCTTCAGAGATCGTGGATAATATGCTTGAAAAACTACAGTCTGCAGTTGAGAAAAAATGTGTTGAGATGTATTCCCAAGAAGATTTGTCAGTCGACATTAAACCAAGTTTAACACCCAGTGAAGAAAATCTTACTTCATCAAATGGAAAACCTTTGAAAGCTTCAGTGCCTTCTACTTTGGAACCCATGTGTGATATTGCAGAGGATATGGTGCATGCCATTTTAGAAAAGCTGATGACTCTTACGTCTTCTAAGCAAAATAAAATTCCTCATCTTGACGATGCAACCAAACTTTCCTATCAGAAACATATGGCAGACCCAACATGTGTGCCCTTTAAAAGAACTGACAGAGAGAAATGTAGCCCTACACCTGATGCAGATAATTTAATTGTTAAAGAGAAAATTAAAAAATTAATATCAAGTATTTTTTCCCAGTCCTCTTTGGTTGGCTATATAGAGGAAGCAGTCAATACAATACTAGGGTATGTACAAACTGAACTTAATAATGAGAAACTTATTGCTTCTGAAGAAACAGTGATACTCCTTCAATTTCTGAATGATCTCTTCACCCAGCTCCATAAAAAGCCAGTAAAGGCAGATGTTCAAAAATGTAAACACTCTAGACTGAGAAATCTTTCTGACCCTGATGAGAAGTACAGACTCACTGGTACTAGGTTATCGAATCGTTCAATGTCTGGAAGACCGTTTTCTCCTGTTAATGTTCCTGGCATGGTCCTTTATTCTGAAGATGATAATGAAGAAATAGACAGAATTGTAAAAAATGTGCTTGATTCATCTTTCAATGATGAAAAGCAAAATCACAACAGATTCCTGAGCCTTGGCTTACAAAAGGAGACACTTGTTTTGAATATCAAAGAAATACCAAACTACCTGCAAAACTTGCTTCTCCAAGAAGCAAAGCTGCATTTCTTGATGCAGGATTAAAGACTGAGCTACCATCTTTAAATAATAAATCAATTTTGAAGGAAAGATCCTGTTTGAATAAAAATATTTTGATTTTCAGCCAAGAAGAAAAGCATCAAATACAAAAGGCCTCAGAAAACATAGTTAAAAGTATTTTCTCAGAATTGCTCAAGAATATATCTTCTGTTCCTCCCAGTTCCACGGACAGTAAACCTAGCAAAGCAGCTTCTGTTTTTATTTCAGAAAAACCTCTAGGTCTCTCACATCAAGAATGGACAGACCAGATGTTCTCTGTGTCAGAAGTCAGTGCAATGGCTCAAGACATAACAGAAGCTGTGTTAAATATACTTCATAAGGCATCAAGCTGCTTTCCCAATACCACCAAAAGTTGCATTTCATCATCAGTTCATCAAAGTTCTCGAGATAGTTCTGAAACTGCCCACATGGTGAAAGAAGCCCCAAATAAAAAGCCATTAAAAATATGGTTTGAGAGTGAAAGGAAAATGAAATATTTAACTTCACTCAATTCAGATTCTTCAAAGACTACCCTATCAAAACTTGAAGAAAGTGAAACTGAACCTGTAGATAACATTAATAATAAGATCATTAATACAGTTTTTGAAAGGCTGAAATCATTCATCTGTCCCAAATTGCAAATGTGCCTCAAATCTTCACCTGCACAGCAATCTTCATTCCAATCTCAACTTAGTACTTATACAACTAAAGTGGTAAATATTGTTTTGCATGCTATCCAGAATGAACTGGAACTTAATAAGAAAAACGTAAGACCTAAGGAGAGAGACCATACCAAATGCCTTAGAAATAAAGGATTTTTTGCTGACAATGATGAATTAGAATCTCATCTCTCAAACTCTGATGATGACATTATGGCATCCCCATTACTAACTTGTATTTGTGAGATGTTATCAAGTAGACACTCAGATCAAAGTAATATTTCACTCCCTTCAGATGTGTCAAAGCCTGCAACTTCATATAAATCTGACATTTTTGATAAACAAAACATTTTGCCAAGTAGGCAGGATAAAAAATCATTTTACAAATATTTGGCTACTCCTTGTGCTCTCCATAGTATCTCCAATGGAAAAGACTGGAAAGAGAATGCCAGGTTGAAGGTGTTAGATAATATTGGGGAAGTACTACTTGAAATGTTATGGAAGCTCATAGGAGCCCATCCTCACTCTCAACCATCTTGTAGTAAGCTGACCAGAGACAGGATGAAAGAGAAACAGCCAACATCTTATGACTTGCAGTCTAATATTCAGCTCATTTCCAAAGCAATTTTGGAATATATCCTTACAAGACTGTGTAATATTGACATGGATACCAGTTTTGCGGATTCTGGATCTAAAGATTCCACAGAATCTCCAGATATTGACAATCTATCATTTGCTTCAATTATTGAGGGAATAACCAAATGTGTGGACATGATTTCCAGCATAGTTTCCAGGATGATTCCAGAGGGCGATAAAGAGGAGACTAAAAGCAAGGCAGAGACTACTGTTCCTGTGTCTTCCAAAACAGGGGACATGAAAGAAAGGCATTCAAAGAAACTTAAAGCTGTGGCTTCAGATATTCTTAATGTGGTTTTTGCTAAACTGGAAGGCTTTGCCCATGGAAATTTAGAAACTCTGGGTTCTATTAATGGGAATAAAAAAAGCAGTAAGATGGAATGTGAAAGTACCAATGTTTTCATAGACACACATGAAGAAAAACTATTTCAGTCTACTTTATATGTGCATGCAAAGAAAATATCAAGTGCTATTTTGAAAGCTATTCAGGCAGAATTAAATACCAACTTGTTAGATTTGAGGACAGATGCAAAATCCCTACCATCTGAGAAACAAATGCTTAACAATATAGTAAATTTAATATTAGATGCAGTATCTGCAGATATGTTTAATGAAACTGAATCTGAAGAGAGAGGAACTGAAACTTATCATTATAGACCAACCTATGGAAATCACCTTCCTGGTGGAGCTGAATCAGATTCATTTCAGGAAGATGATACACGTACAGAAAAAGAATTAATGGGAAAGAAAATACCACTAAGGGAAGAAACTAAATCAGATTCTCTTAAATATGGTTTTAAAACATGGGTTCTAGAAAGAACCTTAAATAGAATTGAAGTGAAACTCAAAGAACCACAGAAATCTCCAATCATTCCCATTATTAGAAATATTTTGAATGAAATTTTTCAAAATGCTTTGGTCAGTCAGTTAAATGTGCTTTCTCTCTCTCATCTAAGTGGCATTCCTCACAATGTCAATGAACCAATCACTCAATCTTCTGAGCAATTTATAGATAAAAGAATGGCTCCGTTAGTGTCTGAATCAGATGTAACAATAGTGGTGGATGATGTTGTTAAAACTGTATTTCATAAACTTTATTCAGCTGCCGTCACAGACAGAAATGCAGATGAAAATAGATATAAAACCATCACCTTTTCAACAAATGTTTCTTTTCATGAACACATTGGTGGGAGTGAGTCCTCCATTTCCGTGCTAGACAAGAATCCATATACTTTACAATCAAGATTTAACATTAATGAACAGGCCAAAGTAAATGTAGTTAAAGATATTGTACAGGCAGTATTAACAAATTTAGAAACTTTTGCTACTTCCAAAGTAAATTCTCTCTTTTGTCCCCAAATCAACTTTACAATTCCATTACCTTTACCTGTTCAATCAGATAAGAGTGCACTAAGTGAAGCATTATCAGTCAAACATTCTTATTCGGATGGTCCATTTTCCTTTTGCCCAGCAAATCATATCAAATCAGAAAAGATCAACTCACTGTCTCAACTCTCTTTGAATAAATTAAACACATATGCAACAGAAGTGGCTAGAAAAATTTTACAAGGAATCAAACATGAGTTAGATACCGAAAGAGAAAGTCCTTTCTCAACTCATAACACTGTGGTTTCTGAAAGTATTGCAAGTCATGTTGTTAACACCATGTTAGATATTGTATCATCTAAAGGTAAATGTGACATAAACAATCCTGACAAGGAGACTGATTGCAGTCACCAAGAAGGTATTATTGAAAAGCTGTTCAACAAGACTGACTATCGAAAAATACTTCAAATTCAAATACAAGATACCATCGAAAGTATATTATGTGATATTTATGAAAAAACATTGTATCAGAATAATCTCTCATTTGCCACACCCACTCTAACATGGAGCATAGCTGGTAAATATCCCAGAGCAAATTCTAAAATGTTCATTGAGGGTACAGATAAAGTTAATCCAAAACATCCTGTTCCTAAATCTGATGTCATTTTGATATCCAACGATATAGTTGATATTGTTCTTCATAACCTCAGTTGTGCTGTCATGCTTGGTATAAATGCAAAGGATCCTCCTTCTGCAAGATTATCCCTGACCTTTTGTGATACGTTTCCAAAAGCAGAGTGTCAACAATCTCCTCCTGTGGGGTCAAGAAGTGAGAGAAAAATAGAGTATTTTCCATCTTCAAGAAATCTAAAACCAGTTTATGCAGATGACAAGATAAGTGTAGTAGAGGAAAAAAACATCAAGAAATCTGTTGCTGACCCATATGAAGAAAATGCTAATTTTATTACCAAGACTATTTTTGATCGGTTAGAATCTTTTGCCACAGAAAGAATAGATTCCTTAATTAATCTTGCTTTCCTATCTAAAGAAGAGCCACTTGTTAGCTCAGAACTGGAAAATAGTAAACAAGATAACAGAATCAGTCATGAGTCAAGTCAAGTAGAATCAAATGTAAATATTCTTAAAATATCAACTGAAACTATTTACAACCAAGAGCTCTCTTTTTCTAGTTACAGAGAAAAACTTGGATCAACAATTCATTTATCAAAAGCTAGTCTTAAGGAATATGCTGACATCATTGCATGTGCCATTTTGAAACTTATTAAAAATGACTTAGACCTAGAAATCCAAAAGAGACATACATACCCAGAAAACACTGCATTCCAAGAAAATATCACTGTGAGTGAAACTGTCAACAGTATCTTAAAGATTTTATATGATAAAAGAACTGCAAAGGAGACTACTTTTTACTCAAAAGATAATTCTAACTTATTTTCACAATTAAGTATATCAAATGAAACACTACTGGAACAAAATGAACGAGAAGAAAACACTGACCTACCTCTGTTTTCAAAGCACCCATTGGAACACAACCAAATGTTAGAAAAAGAAAGCCAGAGAATTGTTTTGGAAAAAATATTTATGAGAACTAGAGAATCAAAACAAAAAGAAAAAAATGCATTTCTCAGTGTTGTGGAAGAAGTTTTAAATAAAGTATATCAAAAAATTATGGAAACCACAGGCAATATTTCTCCATTTAATGAAATCTCCCACTTTACACCTAATTCCAAAATGAAAACATTACACGTAACACAAAAAAACATCTTCCAGTCACGTATTAACAGTGTAGCAAATGACATAGTTGAAAGTGTTTTGGGGAAAATGTACTCTATAGTTGTGAGATCAATATATAAAAGTGGAGAAGAAGAAGCATCTGACAACAATGATAACTTACCCAAGAAATCATCATACATCAGAGAAATGAAACAAGCAGGAAAAGGGATTAATCCCACTAGATCCCTGATACCACAGGTTTCTCCTTATTCAGGTCGTCAATCTGTTTCTCTACTGGAAAACACTTTTTCACAACATTCACCATTACAGGCGGGGAAGGATTTAGTCCAAATGGTTCTCAATAAGATCACAAATTTTGCCTCACTTCATCTGGAAGAGGGCTTGCCCTCCAAAGGTTGTTCTGAGGAGGTGTCACACAGTTCTAAAGGAAGCCCTAAGGGCAGCCCTAAGTCAGGTTTTAAATCAAGTTTAAAATCAAGAACCAAAGTTACTCATTTGCCAAAATTTAAAACAAGAGCACACCTAGGGTCTAGTGGTGTTAAGGCCAAAAGCAAGACCAAGTTAAGTCTTGGAGAGATGCCTTCATGCGATAACTGGTCCAAGACTTCCATTAGGCTGCCACACATCCTATCAAGAGATGATACCAAAAACTTATTGGGAACAAAACTGCCCACTTCAGAACTAAAAATGTATGCCAAGAATGTAATAAGTAATATCTTGGAAACAACTGTAATGGAACTTGAAAAGGTGACACAAAGTAGAACAATGGTAAAAGCTCAAGCTTTACCATGTGATCAAATCATGGCAGCAAATAAAATAGTAAATACAATTTTGCAAGGATTACATGCTACAAAAAACTGCACGTTGGCTTTCTCACATCTGGATGATCTGAAGCTTTCACAGGGTAATATTAGTTCTGAGTCTCTTGCCAAACCACAAGCAGGTTTTTACCTGGAAAATGTTTCTTCACAGTTAGAACAGATTTTCCCTAAAGAAGGTCTATTTAGAAAAACATTTGACAAATGGCAAGCAGAATCAAATGACATGGAAAATGAAAAATGCAAACTTCTGATGATAGCTGAAACCGTTTTGACTGAAATTTCAATAAAAGCACAAGAATTAGAATATTCACTTTCACTTTTAAATTTGCCACCTCTTGAAGATTGTGAAGGCAGATTCCATAATCGTTTTAAAGGAGCTTCAACTAGGGCTGACGATATCAAAACACAAATCAATATATTTGGAAAGGAAATTGTGGAAATGCTATTGGAAAACTTACAATTGTGCTTTTTGTCCCAGATGCCCACTCCTGATAGTAAAGAAACTCTGCCAAGAAGGAATGAACACAGCATCACTAAAAGTAAATATGTTGTTCCAACTAAGGATGTCCTCACCAGTGTACAAATCTATAACACAAAGACAGAAGACCCAATTGCTTTTGGCTCTAGCAATCGAATTGTTCGAGAGATTGTAGAAAGGGTTATAAACATGTTAGAGTCATTTGTAGACTTGCAATTTAAACATATCTCTAAATATGAGTTTTCTGAAATAGTGAAAATGCCTATAGAAAACCTTTTTCCTGTCCAACAGAGACTGTTAAGCAAAAAGATGTTGCCAAAAGTACAGCCACTGAAAAAGTGTTATGATGAATCCAAGTCAAGTACTATTTCCAAAGAAAGCATACAGAACACCCTTCTACAAGTTCATTCATTTCACTCAGAATTATTTACATATGCTGTTAATATCATCAATGACATGCTTGGTATAATTAAGAATAAATTAAACCAAGAAATAAGCCAAGAGAAGCCACCTTCAATTAGCATATTGAAAGAAAACATTGCAGCAAGTGAGATCATTGGCACACTGATATATGAGTGTACCCATTTTCATGAATCTTTGATCAAAAACCTTCCAAAGGAAAATGTGTTCCAAGGAAGAGAAAATTCCTACATTGTTAATCATGTTGAATTAGCAACTAATATGGAAATGCCAACAGCAAGGGTAAAGGAAGTTTCTTATGGGAATAGTCCTACACTAATCAATGCACCTGGTTTGGTGTTTTATTCAGAGGAAGATATGAAAAAACAGTATAGAGCTTCATCAAATTTACAGACATATGACAGAGCTTCTGTAAAAGACACAATTAAAAACTCACAACCAATGGAAATGTCTGATTTAGAAAATATGCCATCTAGCTCTAGAAACAAAATTCAAGATTACAGCCCAAGGCAATCTAATTTTGACCATTTTGGTCAAAGCATGAGAGAAAGCTCCCTACCAGAAGGCAGTGTCTTACAAAAACTGTTCAAGAAAGCAAATGAATCCACAGAAGCAACATTAAAAGAAGTCATGTCATTCATAGAAATGGGAAAAGGTGAAAATCCAAGAGTGTTCCATTATCAGACCTCAAAACCAGTTCGTGAGCCAAACCAAATTCAGACAACTGTTTCTCCACTCAAAATATGTTTAGCTGCAGAAAATATTGTCAACACCGTACTGTCAAGCTATGGCTTCCCAAGTCAACCATTCATTAATGATAGTATGGAGACAATAAAACCATTTTTCATATCAAAGCAAAACACTTTTTCTGACATAACTGAAGAACAAAAGAATGAGGAGAAAAGTTTGCTTAGAATATGGGATAAGCGAATCACCTGTTTACCTGAAGGAGAAAGCAAAGAAGCCAGTGGAGAGTATTTTTCCCTATTGCAAAAATGGAAAAATAAGACATGCCCAACAATAAAGGCTCTGAAGAAAGCTGAACTTATTGCTTTTGCTGATTATGAACTTGGTCCAAATGAAATTCATTTGGTAGCAAGACATGTCACCACATCTGTGATCACATTTTTCAAGAACTTCAAAACTACAGGTAAGCAGAAGACAACTACTTAAAAGTTGACATAATTTAGAAAAAAGTCAGATATGTTTATAAAATATCCTGTCCAAGAAGCTGTATGTACCATTTTTCTGAAAGTAGTCTTGAGATTGGGGCATATATTTATTTATTTATGTAGAAAAAGTTAAACCTTTACAAGTTTTGAATCTAAAAAGATCTATTGCTCAGTTTCCCATATCTACAGTTAAGAGAAAGTGGGACTACTATAAAACAGGAGATTTTGGTTATGCTTGAGATATGAATTCCAAAGAGTTTTTATAATACTTACACATGGTTTCTTTATAATCATACTAAATGTACAGTTAATTAATTGAAGTTTAGTGATTCTTTTCAAGGGGAATAGCTGTAGACTTTGCAATTATTAATCATAGTTTGTCTTTCAGTATCCTTAAATTACATTTAGTTATAATACTGTATCTTCACAAAGTTATTTGAACTCCCTTTCTAAGAATTATTTTGTACCAATTATGTTGAACCTTATATAATAATAATTTTTTATCAAAAGCCATTGATTATGGGCAATTTCTTAATCTAATAATATTATAATAGGCTTGAAATGGATTAATAATACCAGTTACCAAAAATTATTTGCTATATTACTGGTACAGATACATCACTTGCCCATCATTCAAATAGGAGAACACATACTACCAGTCCTATCCACCTGTACAAGATGGTCATTTCCCATACTTAAATCATACTTCAAGGTGGAATGCTGTGTGTATGCAATTACAAATTCATAAATGGAATTTCCCTAAACATGTCTTCAGTGCACTTAGATAATAAAGAATAACAAAGCACGAAAAAAAAGCTGATATGATTCCATCCCATTGGTATTTGTTGGCTCTTTCTGCCAAACCTATTCTCTATTCTCAGATACATCCAGTGCCCTCCAGTGATTTCATTCCCTCTTCTTCTTCCACTTGGAATATCCTTTCCTCACTCCCTTCGGCTCAACATGGCCCCCTTCTGTCTAGAAGTCAAAGCTTAGTTTAAAACTTCCCATCGCCACAATCTTACCTGATTTCACATGCTGAGGTATACCACATGACTAAGTTCTAAGGTAATTCAGAGAAAATTGTGTATGTTGTTCTGGCTGCCACTCCAAGAAGTTGTTTTTCCTACACAATTATGTGACTTAGAATAAGTACTCTGTTGAATAAAAGAAAAAATGGAATCTTGTAGCTTCTTAGAACCAGTAACCATATGATCAATGCAGATATTAGCACTTGGTTAGAGATTTGAATTACTCAGGATAATTTTCTCAACTTTCTGGCTAAAATAATGATTCTACAAGGTAGGAAATAAATGTGAGAAAAAGCCCAATTCCTTCTTGACTAGGGTTTTCATTTTCTAAGTGTCCCAAAGTAAAAATTCATATGTAACTAATTAGCAATATATTTAAGTTGTCATATTTCCCTTAAGTAATACTAAAAATTGTGTTTCCTTTTTTAAGTTTCCAGTGAGGAAAAGATATCTATTGTTTCTACATTGTCAAGAAAAATATATGAATCAAAGCAGCCTTTTAGAAGCATATATAATAATTCTTCACTTTATCAATTTTGTGAATATCTCACTGAGTCTGTCATTTATCATTTAATTTCAAGCATTTCTGATAGTACTGAAGATGGCAGAGAAAATGAGAAACCCTGGAAAAGCCAAGATACATCATTTAACCAGAGTATTTCAATTGATTCACAAATGTTCAAAAGCAGGTCAATTTCGATAGGAGAAATTGCTTTAAGTATTTCTGAAATAATTACTGAGATCCTCTTTAATAGCAACATTATAGAGGCTGAGATTGCACAGAAAACATTTTCTTTAAAAACAAAGTACATTTACTGCACAGGAATAGCTGTTTCTGACTTTGATGATCTCTTTCAGGATCTCTTAATAGGAGTGATTCATGTATTATCCAAAGAAATAGGGTTAAATCATCACCTTGAAAGTAATGGAATAAAGAAGTCTTTTTCCTTGCTTAAAACCCATAGCATTCCCATTTGCAACAAAACAAATACCACGGGAAGACAGACAGACTCCAAAAATAAGGAATCATCTATACACCGAACTGCTCATCTCATTCAAAAAAACAAATTAAATTATCTGGCAGTTAAGTTAGACAGTTTGGTTGACAGCCTAAAAACTCCTGAATCCAAAGAAGTAGTCAATAAAGTATTTAGTATCGTTTTAGACTTATTTTTACCAGATGAATACCAAGGTGAGTCTATGGATTCTGATAAGAGGGCAAGAACATTTTTCTTATCCTCAGATGATCAACAAAATAGTAGCAGTCTTGAAAATAACCTAGGACTCACCCCAAAGTCTATTTTTCTTCTCAATGTCATATGTGAGAAACTCATTAGAACTCTTTTGGAAAAATGCACGAACAATGTCTTTCTTGATAATGACTCTTTCTTTGATGAAACATCAGCAGAAGAATGTCAACTTCTAAAAAGTTTAGAAGATGAAGAATTGGGTTATTTTAATGGAGCTATGGATTGTGAACAATTTCAAGGAAATTATATGTCAGATCTCTTGGAAAATCTGGCAGATATGGATAAAGATTTATTGTCATCAGACTCTATGCTTACTGTTATTTCTCACAGCTTGGTTAAATCACTGATGGACAAACTATCTCATAGTATACAATTTCCCCAAAGTCCACCTTTTACAAGCAAGCATCTTAAATATAGGACAAGAAAAAGACAATCTAGCTCCATAAAAGCAAAAAGACCAGAGCTAACAGTACAAAGTAAAAGCTCTTTAGGATTCATAAGTGATAACAGTTATGCTTTGACAGGATCCTTAAATAGTCCCAGTGTGGTTCGTTCCAAAATACAAGCACCATTTGGCAAAAAGTATTCAGTGAATTCCCCTTATTTGTCACCTTTGAAAAGGCCAGAAGCAAAAAATATGGATACATTACAAATCAATGATAAGCTCTATCCAGATTACAAGAATACACGTGTTTATTCAGCCATGTTTTTAGAGGAAATAATTTCAGAACTGTTTCTTAATCTTTCTACTTCCCTGTGGAGTCAACATGAACGCATTACTGAGACCCAGCTCAACGAGATGAACATAATATTAATCAACAATGTAGTGGATGAATTTAATAATTCACAAGTCAGTGTTTTAAGGAATGTTGAAGAAAAACTGTGTTTCCCGCCAATCCATAAAGAAACTGTTAGTAGGATTGTTAATTCCATTTACTGTGATGTTTTACAACAATATAAAATGAAAGTGACCTATGGTAAAATTCTGTCACATGACAGTAATTCAATAGTAAAGCAAATAACTAATGGCTTATTGTTAGAGACTTTAGATTACCAGCTCCCAGCCTGCTTCAGAGAAAAGCTCATACCTAGCTCGTATTACCCCCTCAATGCTGAAGTTATATTGAAGAAACTTCAAAATAACCTGAGAGAATTTACTTCCAAAGCCAGGTCTTCAACAGGCTATTGTACCATGTTATCACACTCCTTTTTAGAAGATACCATCAGAAGGCTTTTATCTCAACTCATTCCTCCACCCAGCAAGACTCCCTCTTTGGGAAAACAGTATGTCATGAGTTCAGATACTAATGAAAAGTCCACTTGTATAGTAGATAAGGTTATAGCAGCTATTTCAAAACATAACATTTGGCTCACTATGTATGATAATCAATATCTCTATATAGGTGAAAACCTCCAAAAGATGGTGGATTCTGTTTATAGTAATCTTGTGCAGATGTCAGACTCTATTGTTTCCATACAGAAAAGTATAGTCAGCCAAAGCCCAGTCATGGTTGACAGAATAGCCAGTCTTATTATTCAGGAGATTGTTGAAAATCACCTCCAGCCATTTTTGTTTGGAGGAAGCTTATCTCGTCCAAAAACTCCACTGGATTCAGTATCAACTATGGTTAAACAAATTCTCGGTGAAGTCATTGAATCTCACAGACCCCAGAAACAATCACCCTCAGGCATTTACTCTGATACATTTGTAAGGGAAATTGTTGCCAGACTTCTATCAAAGGTTTTCAGTGCAAAGCACAACACCGAAATTGAAATGGAAAACATGACCCAAAAAATAGTAAACTCAATAAATAGCCATTTTGAAAGAGCTGAAATTAACATTCCAAATGGCAGCACACAACAGTTGTCCCCTTTTGCGGATTCAGATACTGTGGATCACCTTGTTACCACAGTGTACAGAAATGTTTTGAAACAGCATGGACTAGATCCTGATGATGATAAAGATACAAAAGACACCGATGATTTTGTGGAAAAAATTACCAAGTTAGTTACAGCAGCTATTTCAGATTATCTTCTTCACCCACTGCTATCTGGGGATTTGCCAACTTCTTCCTGCTCCATGTCAAGAGCTGAGAATATTGTTCAGGATATCCTAAGTAATATCAGTAAATCTACCAAGCCTGGTCAGAGTTTATCTCCATATAATACATTGCTGCCATACACATTTTTAGAAGACATGGTCAGAATACTATTATCTAAAATCTTTCCATCTACAACTGGTAGTGTTCCAAACAGAGAAACACTGAAAGAGAGATCAAGAGAAAATTTCAATGAAGTTGCTTCAAAACTAATCAGTGATATTAGGATGAAAATTTCCCAACATGAAATTCGATTTTCAAATGATGAAGAAACTAAGTCTATATATTCAGAAGATGAGGTTCAGCATCTTGTTGACTCAGTATTCGAAAATATTTCACAAGACTCTGAATATTCAGAATCAGTTGAGCAAAACATCACAAGCAGTAGTGATACATTTATTGACAGAATAGCAGGCTTTATCATTAAATATATCAGTAAACAACATCTTCAACCATTTGTGGATGGAAAGTCATCATCTTCATCATCCACAAATCTTGACAATGAGGGAGGGCAATGGTTTTATGCCAGTGTTTACTCCTCAACTTTTTTAGAAAATGTGGTCGCTGGGGTTTTAGGTAAAATATTCCACAGGATGATAGGCATTGTACAAACAAAATCAGTAATACATGCAGAAGATGAACTATTTGATAAAGCTGAAAAACTCATACATTTGATAGCAGAGGAATTTTCAAAATCCCAAGTTAAGATTCTTGAAAATGCTGAGGAGCAGTTGTGTTTGCCTCCAGTGGAGAGAGATGTAGTCAAAAACACTATTGACATGGTATACAGCAAAGTTTTACAAGAATATGAAATGGAAATAATGCCTGATAAATATTTTCTAGATGACACTAAGGCATTAGCTGCAAGGATAACTAAAATCATTGTGGCTGAAACTTTTGATTTCCAAATTCATTCAAATCTTACAGAAAAGCTTCCTTTTATACCACATTGCAAACTCAATACTAATGTATTGATAAAGAGAGTTCAATGTGACATTGCAAAATCAAGATTCCGAAGACAGGCTTCAACAATATATACTACTATGTTATCACATACTGATTTGGAAAAAATTGTCACCCAGCTTATATCCCAAATGAGTTCACTGACATCCAATGAAGAAAACTTAGAATCTTCTCAATCAGAGTTAAGTAATGCAGTCATAAAACTGATAAATGAAATCATGTCAATAATTTCAAAGCATGCAATATGTATTACTAAACACGGAAATGAAAAACAAGGTATGATTTCAGAAAAAGAGATCCAGTCTATGGTTGATTCCATTTATGCTGATCTTTCATATTCAAATTTATATCAGTTTCATGCAAAGGATAAAAAAGGTATAAGTAACATACCTGTTTCAAAATTAGCAAGTTTTATAATAAAAGAGATCTTTAACCATCATCTTCAGTCATTTTTATCAGGAGATAAAAAACTCTCTCCACCTGCAATTGATGAAACTTATAAACAGAAAGCAATAGATCCTAAACAAGAAGAATTGTCTTTAATTGTGAACTCGGCCCCCTTTTTGGAAGAAGTAATTTCTGAGCTTTTATGTAAACTTCTTTATTCGTTCTCCCTTAACAGTTTGGCTGCTGAAGACCCAGAAACAGAAAACATCAAAATCGTTGACATTGTTACAACATTAGTAAAATCAATTGTTCTGGAGTTTACCACATCAGAGATTTTAGTTGCAGATAACTTTGATGAAAAAATGTGTTTTTCAGAAACATATAAAGAAATGGTTCAAAAAACAGTCAACATAATTTATGATAAAATATTAGATGAATATAAAGTTCTGACTCAAGTATACAGGGATATACAATGTGATGCTGCTTGTTTTGGAAGGAAAATATATCATTTGATATTGGAAGAAATTTATGATTATCAGGTGCAGTCATTAGTTTCAGGGGGATTAGCATCTTCTTCTTCCTATTCTTTGCCTCAAGCTGATAATATCATCAGAAATGTGCTCAATGTTGTCATGAATGATAGACCTGCCTTGCCTCCCTGTATTACTGTATTGCCTCGCTGTCTTTTAGAAGCTATGATTTACAAACTGCTAATGCATATCTTTCCTTCAACCAACACTGAAAATAAACTAAACGAGGAAGAGGTTTCAGATGATGAGTTTGTGGATGCAGCTTCAAAATTGACTGATGAAATTATCGAAGAAATTTCTGAACATGAGATCCGTCTTGCTACAGCAGAGCAGAATGCAGAAAGTACACAATTAGAAGCAATTGAGAATTTGATTGATTCTATATGTAATAATATTTTGAAAAAATCTGAGTTTCAAGCTGAAGTACAGAAAGATGCAGACAAAAAGGGAGGCTCGTTCCTCAGTAAAATAGCTGGTTTCATTATTAAAGGAATCATGGATCACCATCTGAGGCCATTTTTACATGATGAAGAATCATCTTCAAGAAACTTACCCGATTCTAGCCACATCTCTGCTCTTACTAATACTGATAAGGAAAAAAGACAGCCTTCTCTATATTCAGCTACATTTTTGGAAGATGTAATTGTTGACCTTGTTCATAAATTTTATCCTCTTCCAAGTATTACTAAAGAGACTGAGGAAAAAGAAATGCCAGAGCCAGACATTGTGGGCTTGGCTATAAAGTTTGCAAACTCTCTGATAAGAGAATTTAGGAAAAGTGAAATTAAGGTCCTACCAAATGCCGAAGAGATATTTTCATTTCCACCAATTGATAAAGAGACAATTGATAAGATATCCAATTTTGTATATGATCAGTTTATAGTAAAGTATGGATCCAATGATATTCAGGCAGATGAAAAAAATAACGTTTTTATAGAAATGATTTCCACTTTAGCCCAGAAAGCCATCTCTGCTTTTAAGATTCAAACACTTTTTTCAGGAGACTGGTCTTCCACTTTCTTTTCTTTTCTAAATGCAGATAAAATCACCCAAAGGGTTCAAGACATTCCACAGAAAATTTCTACCCAGATTAACAAATGTTTAAAGGGGAGCCAACTTATTTTACCAGAACAATCATTTGAACAAACTTCTCCAACCTCAGCCCAGAAAAAAGTGTTGGACACTTTGGAAATAGAGGGATGTCCGATGAGTAAAAAGTACAGTTTCGAAACTGAAAAGATATCAATGAAAAAAGGTGCCATCCAAGGTCCGACGGGTACTACTGTAGCTAGTATTACAAAAAACAACATGATTAATTTGTTATCAAGGTCACCTGTAGATATGGCAAATAAAAAGAAAAAGAATGATAAAGTAGAAATTTCAAATAAAAGATATGAGAATATATCAAAAGTTACTTCTCCAACTACTACTGTGAAAAGTAAAGATATTCAGGAGTCAAATTTGACAGGAACACTTGAAAAAAGTAAAATTAAGAAGACAAGTATATCAACTTCAACAGATGAAGAGAAGCCAGGTAATGTGGCACATGCACAATTTCTGGAAGCTACTGATGATTCAGAATATAAGAAAAAAGTGCTTGAACCAGATTCTGAAATACTCAATGAAAAGAAGATTGACAAGAAAAGAACAATTTCATTAAAAAATGACAAGTTCTCTTTGATATCTAATATGAGTAATATAGGGACTATGACAGAGAAAACTTGGGAAACAATCACCCAAATGAGAAACAAAAAGAAAGACTCTCAGACTCAATTAGATAAAAATGAGGAACAAAACACAGATTATGAGGCTGTGCAAATTGTCACTGGAAATATTTATGGCAATGTCTTCAATCTATACTCTTCTCAAGATTCAGATTACTCAAACCTCAAATATAATTCCTCAAGTGATACAGCATGGCATGTAATTCAAGAGGTTGACGAGGACTTTGCCCAGTCTGTTTCAACAAAGGATTTATCCCCTTCAATAAGCCTCCCTGACAAAGAGAATGAGAAAAAAGGACAGAGGTGGGAGCAAGGTGATAAAAAACAGGATGTGGAGAAAAAGCAAATGAATGTCAAAAAGATTAAAAATGAACCAACTAAACCAGAAGGTTCTCAGTACCCACAAAAAAATAAACCTGGGATTTTTCCTGCTAATTTTTTAGAAGATGTCATCACTGAACTGGTTAATAAATTGATCTTTTCCTCCTCACCAAAAACACCAACATGTGATAGATATCAAGATGCAAATAGTGAGGAAAATCAAGCTCAGCTCTATAACACAGCTATGAAACTTACTAATTCACTGTTGAAAGAGCTTTCCAATGCTCAAATTAAGGTATTTAGGCCAGAAAGGGAAAATCCGTTTTCTCCACCTGTAGGTAAAGTGTCACCAATCCCTAACGAAAGTGCAAAGCATAAAGAATCAACTATAGATGATGCATCTTCCAGCATAAAGAAAAAAACTGTGGATAAAATGCCAATTATGCATAAAATGCCTGAAAAACCCTCTTCAAATAAAATACCTTTCCTAGATAAAGTACCACTGATCAATAAAGCAATGGTCAACAAAGTTGTTCATGCCTCTGTGTGCAATATTTTGAAAAAACACAGATCTCAAGATTCCATTTGTAAGAATATACACAGTAATGGAGACAAATTAGCAAGACAACTAACTAGTTCAGTGATAACTGAAATTTTTCAACATCAGCTTAATCTGATAGTTTGTGATGAAGTTCCAGCTTCAGCATGTTTGCCTTTGGAATCTAAAGACATTGTTAAAAAAGTCCAAAAGGTGGCTCAAACAGCCAGCAAAGAATGTCAAACATCATCGCCATATACCATCATGCTGACTCATGAGTTTTTAGAGAATGTAATTTCTGCTCTTTTATCTAAAATTTTCTCAACCGAGTCCAACACTGAAGTGGAAATATCTCTGGGCAACTTGTTCACAGAACTGGATTTTCTTCAAATGAAATTAATCAGTATAATTAAAACTGAGATCTCCAAAGATGAAGATATGATAATACAGTATGTGGAATCCTTACATCCCAATGATGATGAAATTATTCAACTAGTGGTTTATTCTATTTATGAGAATCTCTTATCACAGTTTGGGTCACAAGAGATCATAAAAGACTGTGTATCCAGTGGATGCAGAATCCTTTCAGAAGCCATAGTTGACTTAGTTTTACGAGAAGTGGCTGGAAATCAACTGCAGAATTATTTTTCTGGAGAGCTAACTCCAAATCAGTGTGCGGAAATTGACAGTGTTGTTGAAAATATTCTTAACGATGTTGTCCAAAGTGCTGATGCTCCCCAGGTTCAACCATCTCATGCTCACACACTGGCTTATAACATAGTAGAAGAAATTGCTGTAAAATTTTTATCAAAGCTCTTATCTATATTTCCAAATGTAGAGAAGGAAAGAACTGACTCTCTAGAAACTGAAATGCAAAACATAACCTCAAAAATATTAAATTCAATACAAGACTTTATCTCTAAAAGTAAGATTAAACTTGTACCATCAGCCAAGGAATTGCCTACTATACATTCAGCTGACAATGCAACTATTGAAAAGGTTGTTAATTCTGTGTATACCAATATTTTAAAGCACTCTGGCTCACAAACTTCTGTACTTAAAGATTTAATGGGCAAGAGTAATGTCCTCTCTGATATAATAGGTTTTTTAATGGTGAAGGAAATTTCAAATTCTGAATTTCAACCTCAAGTAGAGGAAGAAGTACCAAGTTCAGAATTAGTTCTAGAAACTGTCAAAGTTATGAAAAAAGTGATCAAAATACTTGATGAATTTCACTCCCAGGGTAAATCTTCATCCATAAAAGGTTCTATGTTAGATGCCACTTTTTTAGAAGAAGCATTAGCCTTATTTTTGGCTAAAATAGTGAAGTTGCCAAGTGCCTCAAGCAAAGATGAAAAACCCTTATCAAAGCCTGAATTAAACAGGATTGCTTCACAACTGACAAAATCTGTGACAGCTGAAATATCTAAAAGTAATATTAATCTTTTTGCTGCTGACTCTGAAGAACACCTTTTACAACCAGAAAGTATAGAAATGGTTTCTCAGGTCATTGATTCTATTTATAGTACCATATTGCAACAATCTGGAACCCAGGAAGAACTTTATTATGATATAAAAGATTCAAACAAAGTCTTCCCCCAAAAAGTAGCTAGTTTAATTCTTAATGAAGTTACTAATATTCCAGTAGAGAGAGTGAATTCAAATGTTGATCTTTTTAGTGATCTAAACATTAATAGAATTGTTCAGAAGGCAGAAGAGCATGCTGATAAAATGTCTCCTGAATCAGAGAACATGTCGAATAAAACTTTAATGGAAGAAAAACTTCCAATAAAAATAGTTCCACATGTTGGGCAAAAACCAATCAAAATAGACCCAGACATTATCTCAGAACACTTAGCAGTAATTTCTATAAAAACTAAACCTCTTGAGAATCTTAAGATGGAGTGTTTAAGAAATACTGGACACAGCATAGCAGAACTGAGAAAAGCATCAATAAGTGGGGAACATTACTTCTCACCAGGCCTATCTAATATAAACAAAATGCAGAGAGAGAGACGCATATCACTGAATAAGTTGGGACGACTGGATGTAAAACCCTTCGAGGTAAGTGAATAGACAATACCCAAAAAAGAAAAAGAGTGATTCCTTCCCTGTAATAGATATATAGAAAAACATTTTTTGATGTTACTGCCCAGCTCAATCCATGAATTGGTTACCCCAGTTCATCTATACAGTCAGATGATTGACTAGAACTTGCCATATCTATTTTGTTCACTCTTAAGACTTTAGGCTAGCTTTCCTAATGTCAGTTTAAGCTGGCATTATATTTTCAATAACGAGACTATATGGATATAACCTTAAGAGTAAAATCAGATTAAAATTACAATCTTTATTTGAAGATTTAAAAGAAACAAAACCTCATAACTCCTTTAGTTCTTATGCTATTGAATATGTAAAGGATTTTAAAAGGGCCAATTAACAGACTGTCAGTTTTAGGAGAGTACAGTGGTAACATTCTTGTTTTCTTTTAGCAACATTTCTCAACAAACTCTAGACTGCAAACTCTTAGATTATATTTGTTTATTATTTCAGTTTAATTATTTTAGCCTTACTCAATTTCTTTTTTTTTAAAGATTGATTTATTTATACAGGAACTGGGGTACAGTCAGAGGCACGGGAGGGTGAGAGAATTCACCAGAGACAGAGTGGAGAGCAGAACAGGCAGATGGACCAAAGACACTGCTGAGGAGATCAGCATGCCAGGCAGGAGAAGTCTGCTGCACCGTGTGGGTTTCTCCTGGGCCAGCTGGGCACTCGCGCTTCAGAGGCTGCACACAGCTTCACTGCACGGCGCTCAATCTGCTGTGCCACTGGGGAGGCCCCTTACTCATCTTCTAAAAGAAGTACCCAGTTTCCTTCCTCTTCTATCCTTGTTCTAGACCCAGCTATCCTAATGCTACCATTTTTATAAACCCATCTTTTATTTTCATAGATCTACATTTGCCCTGAAGCTCTATACTTGGGCTCCAAATGTATTGAATGATATATTGCTACAAGGAAACTTTTCCATGAGGGAAAAGGAGTTTTCAGACCAATACAGTTTGCTCCACACATTTTGGCTTTTATCAATGCTCTTTGTACTGATTGTGTTCGTTCATAAGAGGATTGAGTGTGCTTAGGGATATAATCTTTGGCCTGGCCCATGAACAAAGTTTAATGGAATCATTCTACTTGGAGCATAAACTTAGAGTTTTCTCCACTGAACTATGATTGAGGACTGGTAAATACATTAATTATTGCCTTATGTTCATGCCCAATTGCTGAGATTATCATGGGATGAGACAATAATTTAACCTCCTTCTAAATCTTCTGAATCAGAATATGGTCCTCTCCAGCTCCAAAATGCCCTCTATATACAAGAGCTCTTATAATTGCATTAGTGTGTGACTTGGTCTTCATTCACTTGCAAATATTTCCTTGGAAGTAAAACATGTTTGAAAAGATAGAATACTCAAAATAAATTTTTAATTATCTGTGGAAACATCTATCATAAGGATTACTCTTAGTGGCCAGCTCTCTTAGGTTATTAATAGCCCACAGAAAGCTGGAAGAGAACATGTAAACCAAAGCAATTAGGGCCTCCCTGGTGGCAAAAGGGGTTAAGTCTCAGCACTATGAAGCTATCGGCAGCCACTGCAGCATGAGTTCAATCCCCAGCCAGGGAGTAATTCACATAGCGCAGCAAACCTCTCCTGTCTCGCCCACTGTTCCCCTCAGCAGTGTATTTCAGTAGATTTGCCTGTTCTGCTCCCTACTCGGTCTCTAATGAATCCTCTCACTTCTCCACACCTCTGGCCTACACCCTAGCTATTGTATGCATAAATAAATAGTTTTGTTTTTAATTACCTCAATCCTGTTAAAGAAAAGCCACCCTAAAAACTAAAATCAAATAAGGAAGAAAAATATAGAGAACTTTTATAAGACATATTTGTACCAAAATGGATACCAATGTTATCTATTTATTGTATAGGAACAGAGAAGAGACAGAATTGCAGATTAGATGAGAAAACTTAGAAAATTGTTGTCTCCACCTCAGGGCTTTATTTGTTGTTTTGTTTTCCCAGCCCATTAGGCATGTACATATTAAATTATATATATTAACAAATTGTAAAGCCACATAGGAAGATTCTGGAATTTCTAAATTTCCTCTATTAGCATAGAAAACCAAAATTTATTATGTTTAATTTCTTAAGGGAGCTGTTCGTATATTTTCTTTTATTTATTTATTTATTAAGGATTTATTTATTTATTTGTTTGTTTGTTTATTTATTTATTTATACAAGCACTGGGTACAGTCAGAAGCGCGGGAGGGTGAGAGAATTCACCAGAGCCAGAGCAGGGAGCAGAGCAGGCAGAAGGACCAAAGTACACTGCTGAGGGGAGCAGCAGGCGGCAGGAGAGGTCTGCGCGCCATGTGGGACCCTCCTCAGGTGGCCGGGGAGCAGCCAGGGATCGAATCATGCTGCAGAGGCTGCAGGCAGCTTCGCAATCCAGCGCTCAACTGTTGTGCCACTGGGGGGGCCCTCGTATATTTTCTTTCTACAGAAGACATTGTTTATGGTACCATTATTTGAAAGATTGATTTAGAATGTTAGAAAGGGATATTGAGGTCTATGATTAACTCATATCAATTTTGAGGTTGTGTGGTAACTCAATGGATACAGAAATAGGAAAATTCTACTATTTAATTATAGCTGTCTTTACACACTGAAAATGGAAAGTGAGAATTTAGTAGGGAGGAGAAAGAAAATGGAAGATACATGTTTTGAAGTTTCCCATGGAAAATATGTTCTAAGTATCTGGAACGGAAGGATAGGTTTAAAGATCCAAAGACCTTCAATTTTAGGTACTCATCATTTTTTAAAATTTATGATCAGGCAATGCTCTGCTTTTTATCTATATTTAAGTTTCTCAATGATGATCTATCTAGGAGTTCACAAAAATAGATTAGCAATCTACCAGTACAACCTTTTAAGGTAAATAAAAAATCAAAATGTTATGATGCAGCAAAATATGGTTAAAGTGAAAAAAAGAAGGAAAAGAAACATGTTAGACCTCCCTTTACACCTTGGATTAATTATGATAGATTAATATGTACTCTAAATGGAAATAGGCAGTGGCAAATACATATTTCTTACATATTTCTTATAGATATCCTATTATATATTTCTTATAGTTTTTGTTTTTCCTTTTTAAAATATTGCTAACAAAGTAATTAGCATTTGAAGACAATATTTAAGGTCAAACTGGAAATCATACTGAAATAGTAGGGATAAGAAAATGTAGTTATTTGTTTTTAATATTCATTGTACATTAAATTCCAGGCTGCTTGCAGAAATTCATTTCAAAATGTAAGAAAGCCTGATATTACCAGAGTAGAACTTTTAAAAGATGTTCGCAACAAAGAAGAGCTGATTATTCGACTAGTAGCTCATGATATTGAACAAGACATAGAAAATAAAAGAATAGAGGAAATTGATGAAGAAGAAGTTATTTTAAGAGAGATTACAAAAGAAGAATTGGAAAAACCCGAATCTCAAATGAAAGAGACTACAAGCCCAGTAGGAAGCAAAGTTGCTTCTCCCAAGCCAATAATATGCACGAGCAACCTGAGAAAAATTTTGTCACTAAGCAAATGTTGTCAACCAACATCCAGTGCACATATTGAAAGTATCGAAGCAACCTCAAGTCATACACTAGAACTTAAGGAGAGACAAATTAAAAGAGCTGCTGCTAAGCTTCCCATGACCAGATGCTCAACAACCTTCACTGAAACAGATTCACGTAGGGAGAAAAAGTCACAGCAAAAGGTCAGTGAAAAACATGGCTGTTAGTGACTGATATCTATGGAAAGTGTAGAGATGCTCTGAAATTCTGTCCAAGGATGAACATTAATGAGTTAGAAAAGAATACTATAATATAGTTTCAGTCTCCTCCTAAGTCTATTAGTAATTCTAGTTCAAGAGAAACCTCCTAAGTCTATTAGTAATTTGTGTTTTGGCTGGTAAATACCAATAGGATATTTTGTGTAGAAAAGTTTTTCAAATAAGATAGCACCAGAATGTGGAATGAAGTAGAAATACAGAAAGATACAAACAAACTCAGGTGATCTACAGTTGATTCAGATAGTCCTGATTCTCATTTAATTGCTATGTGACTTTTGGGGAAATTACATAACCAACTCTTAAGTCACTTAACCAACTTGTCCTATAAACAAGTTAGTGACAACATTTTAAAAATCACCCTTGAGATTATACCATACCACACTATCATCATAAATACAACTCTTATCTTTAAATGGTGGACTGTCTTTCACAGACACTTTTGGCTGATCCTGTCAAAAAATCTGTTTCAAAACATGTTTTTGGAAAGTGTATGACTCCCGGGTTAGCCCAAAAGCTGTGAAGAAAAAGAAATGCAACTCTGTTCAGTTCAAAAGCCCAACCAGTAAGTCATCTCAACAAATGATCTCTTTGTTAGAGAGCTAAGTGTGATGACAAGATGAAATCTACAGAATAGTTTTCTTGAGCCTCATAGAGAAAGCACTGGCTTTATAGAAAAGTTATTTCTCAAGATTCTAACAGATTCACAATAAAGTTATTTTCATAAAAGGTATGGTCAAGAAATCACACATAATTTCTGAGCAAACAGATCAGAGCATCTGACTAAGATAATTGACGTGTAAAACTTCAGAGTTAGCTAGCATTGTAGTTCTGTTCTTTTTGAACTCAGCAAAACGTGATTCAAAATATTTGTTAAATGCAAATGGAAAACCACATACTTCTAACATTGTACTCATTTTCTCTTTAAAATCTTTTCAAACTCCAATATTATAATATAGATCATCTTCATTAAGTCACTTCCAAAAAATTATATTGGAAAAAGATTTTAATTTGAATTATTGGGTTCATTCATCCTTTTTCTTAAAACTTTTTCTTATTGGGCCTCCCCTGGTGGTGCAGTGGTTGAGCGCTGGGCTGCGAAGTTGCCCGCAGCCTCTGCAGTGCCGGTTCGATCCCCAGCCACTGGCAAGGGTCCCACATGGTGCGACAGACCTCTCCTGCCACCCGCTGCTCCCCTCAGCAGTGTATTTCGTCAGTCTGGCTGTTCTGTTCCCTGCTCTGGCTCTGGTGAATTCTCTCACCCTCCTGCACTTCTGACTGTACCCAGTGCTTAAATAAATAAATCTTTTAAAAAAAATTTTTTTTTCTTACTATAGTGTAGGGTACAGAACATGCCGATAAGGTGAGAAAGTACATATCAAATTCAGCTTTATGTGATACCTGATTTGCATTTTTCCAGAAAGAAGAAAAGAATATTGCTGAACCAACACATTACCTCATACACAGAATTATGAGTTCATCATCATACAACCAAGAAGATCTGATTTCATCTGCCGGGTACATGAAATTAAAACAATATAGAATATAATCTGAGATGACAGCAAAGTTTATAGGAAGAATAGGGTTCCTGGTAAAACTATGATTGGGAACGTATTCAGTTCTAGACCTTCTCTCACTTCCTATTCTTCCTCAAATCTCTCCATTCTGGATACTACACAAATTTTCCCCTTTGCACCTGATTCCCCATTTCCAGTTTACTACTATCTATAATCTATATCTATAACTATAACTATATATATAACTATAACTATATCTATAACTATAACCTATATCTATATCTATAACCTATATCTATAACAGCAGTGTCTTAGGTTAAGAATTTGCTAATGTATTTATTATTTTTCTTGTAATCTGGAAGATAGACATTGGGTCAAAATAGTACCTGTGCTATCAACCCAAAGAGTTCCTTATTAACTCTTTTAAGTGGTTAAATGTTTCAGCCTGCATAACTGCTTATAAAATCAATCCAAAGAGAGGGGGCAGTGTAAACTGGAACATTCAACGATGAATTCTAAAAAGTATGGAGTTTTATGTGAGACTGGAAGGACAGGCAGCATTTGCATAAGGAGAAGATAATCCAAGTTTACAAGTCTACTGTAGCAGCAAAGTCTGCATTTTGTGGCATTTATAGAGGAGAGAGGAACAAATGGCATTGTATACTTAAAATGTAATTAACAAATATATCTAGAATAACTAGAACTTGTCAAATTGTTCTTAAGTTTATAAGGTATTCAGAACCTGGAAACAGCATTTCCTATTATGGGAGAGGCAATGAATATAAGGAGAAAATTCTATCTGATTACATTTTTTTTCTAGGCATCATGATGAGATTGTTTCTTTTTGACACACACTATTTCTGACCTATCTGTAACTCTGCTTAAAAGTTATTTTAACATGTATATGATAGTATAATTAAGTAGCAAAATGAAACACATGAAATTTTGCCATTTATAACAACATGGTTAGACATTGAGGGAGTATACTAAGTGAAATACATCAGAAGGAAAAAGACAAATGCCATATGATTTCATTCATTCATTTGTGGAATATAAAGAACAAAGCAATGAACAAATAAAATAGAAACTTTTAGACCCTGGCAACAGAATGGTGTGTTCCAGAGGGGAAATTGGGGAACAGATATAGGGGATTAAATGGTCGGTGATGGAGGATGACTGGACATTTCTGGGGAGTGTGATGTGCTTTACACTTCCTGAGGTGAGAAACTGTATACCTGAAACTATACAGTGCTACCAATTAAAAAGAAATGGGTTATAAGAGAGTATTATCAACAATTATATGGCAACTAATTGGATAACCTAGAGGACTATGGAAATATTCTGAGAAATACATAACCTATCAGACTGAATCATAAGACACAGAAAACCTGAACAGAATTATAACTAGTAAGAGATTGAATCAGTAATCAAAAACCTCCTAATAAACACTCAGGAACAGGTGATTTCACTGGTGAATTCTAGCAAACATTTAACAGATAACTAACACTAACCCTCCTCAAACATTTGCAAAAACTTGGAGGAGGGAATACTCATGAGACCAGAACTACTTTGATACAAAAGCTAGACAAAGATGCTACAAAAAACAAACAAAAAAACACACTGATTATCACTGATGAATATTGATGCAAAAGTCTTCAACAAAATACTAGCAACTGTATACTAAAAATACTAAAAGCAACAGTGCACTTGACAGTATATTAAAATTATTATAATCTATGAATAAGTAGTATTTATCAAAAACTACATGGAAATGTCATCATAGGAAAACAAATCAATGTAAAGCAACATATTAACAGGATGAAGGAGAAAATCATATTCTTACCTTAATAGATTCAGAAAATCATTTGACAACATTCAGTACTCTTTCGTTGCACTCAACAAAGCAGGAGTATAAAGGAATTATCTTGAAAGAATAAAAGAAATATGGAAAACCTGCAATTAACATTGTACTCAGATGAAAGCCTGAAGGTTTTTCCCTGTAATATCAGGAAAAAAACACGGTTCCCCACACACCATACTTTTATTCAACACAGTACTGGAAGCCCTAGCCAGAGCAACTAGGCAAGACAAAAAGGAATTCAAATCAAGGAAGTAAAATGTCCATTCAAAACAATGTTATCATTTTCAAAAATCATATCCATTGATGTAAAATTGACTTACAATTATGTATTTTAGGTGACTAGGTTTGTACCTCTATAAATGTATGTAATCATAGCACACCCATCAACAAAGCACCAACAATCTACTTCCATAGTCATTGGAGGCCCCCTACAGATTCCACACAAAAAAGGAAGAAAAAAAAAACTTTCAGTACTAAAAAATGAATCATCAGAGTTGTTGGATACAAAAACAACACACAAAAAAATTATTGCATTTCCACATTAACAATAAACAATCCAAAAATGTAGTTAAATTTTATTTGTACTAGTATTAAAAAGAATAAAACACTTAATCATAAACTTAACCAGGAGGGTAAAAATATGAACTCTGAAAACTACAAAACATTCTTGAAAGAAATTCAAGACATAAATGGAAAAACATTGAAGACTTAACATTGTTAGGATGTCAATACTACTCAAAGTATTCTATAGGTTAAATGTAATCCTTTTAAAAATACTGCTATTTTTTGCAAAAATAGAAAAATCTATTTAAAATTCATATAGTATTTCAAGGGATTTGTGCTTCAAAGGACAGAGCAAGAAGTTAATCTATGGAATGAGAGCAAATACTTGCAAATCATATACATGATAAGATATTACAATCTAGACTATGTAAAGATTACCTATTATTCAACAACAGAAAAGCAAACAACCTGATTGAAATTTGGGCAAAGGACTTGGATATTTCTCCAAATATGATATACATGTGGGCAATAAGCACTTAAAAAGATGCTTTAATTATTTGGGAAATGTGAAGGAAATGCAACTGAGAAGCTATTCCACACCCATTAGAATAGTTATCACTTTAGAAAGTCAGAAATAACAAGTTTCATTAAGAATGTAAAGGAGGGCCTCCTCGGTAGCGCAGCGGTTGAGCGCTGGGTTGCGAAGCTGCCCGCAGCCTCTGCAGTGCTGTTTCGATCCCCGGCCACCGGGCGAGGGTCTCACATGGCACGCAGACCTCTCCTGCTGGCCTGCTGCTCCCCTCAGCAGTGTACTTCCGTCCTTCTGCCTGTTCTGCTCCCGGCTCTGGCTCTGGTGAATTCTCTCACCCTCCCGCGCTTCTGACTGTACCCAGTGCTTGTATAAATAAATAAAATAAATCTTAAAAAAAAAAAAGAAGAATGTAAAGGAATTGGACCCTTGTACATTGGTGGTAGAAATTTGAAATGATTCAGTTGCTGTGGAAAAGAGTGTGATATAATATTTTCTCAGAAACTTAAAATACAGTTATATGATTAGCAATTCCATTTATGGATATATACACAAAAGAATTGAAAACAAAGACTTGAACAGATACTTGTACACTCATGTTTACAGCATCACTATTCACACTAGCCAGATCCTGGAATCAACCCAAGAGTCTAAGATGGATAAATAAACTGTTGTATATACTTCAACAGACTATTATTCAGCCTTAAAAAGGAAGGAAATTCTGGTTCAGGATACACCATGGATGAACACTATAGACATTACATGGTAAATGCAAACTTTCTAGAGAAGTTTTCTAGAGAAAACTTTCTAGAAAACTAACTAGAGAAGAAATGTTACATGATTGCAATTAAATAAGACACCTAGGGTAGTCAAATTGTAAAGTCAAAAAGAATAATAGTGTGGTTCCAGGGGCTGGAGAGCTAGGGAAGTGGAATGTTGATATTTAATGGGTACAGAGTTTCAGTTGAGGAAGATGAAATGTTTCTGCAACTGGATGGTGGTAATAATTACACATTGATATGAATGTACTGAAATATTATATACATGCAGATGGTAAATTTTGTAGTATGTATATATATTCAATGAGAAAAGTTTAAGTGGAAAAAAGCAAATTTAGAAATAATTTTCATTCAATTTGGAAACTCAAGATACAATATTTCAGGTTTATTTTTATGTAAAAAATGACTGACAGGTTTTTCTTTACCTTAATAATTTCTACATTCATTCATTAAATACACAAAAAATAAAATGTACTTTTTCTTTTGTTTTAGTGAGACTGAAGACCATAGCCCAGATGCAAGTGCTAAAATATTAGAAGGTTGGACTTACTGTTTTTCTTAATTTTAATTAGAAAGTATTCTAAGAAAACTTTGTTTACTGCTTTGATGCAATTTTCAGCTGTCAAACCTAAAGCTGATACTGTTTTTTTTTTCCTTGTCATTTTATCTATTTATATAAAATGATCCAGTACTATATCACTCAGGTCTTAAAATGAGCCAGCTAGTCTGCCTTGCGCTTATTACCAAAATTTTATTAATGATTTTGGTCAAGCAGATGGTGGGTATTAAGAATTTACATTTACATCTCTGAGAAATAACCATAAATATCGGTGTACCATACAGTAGTTTATATCTGAAACAGAACCTATGATAATAGGTTTTAGCAATTTCTCAGAGAATTTATCTTTCCTTTGTGCTTAGCTCTACTAAAATGTACTCAAAAAGTGCTTTTAGAACTAATTTCTAGTTCCCTCTCTCCTCCAACAGAAAGTTCCCAGGAACAAAAGCCAGAGAGTTCAAACAGCTTTAAGGTAAGATGGTCTCACTCATAGCAAAAATTTAGAAAACCTCCATAAGTATGGGACCAGGAAAAAAACTAATTATAATAAAGTGAAAATCAAAATCAACAAGCAACTATAAACCAGAGACACACTACGGCGGGGAGAGGAGGAAGTAGGATCAAAACAAAAGGGATAGGAATTGTATGAGGACTATAACCAAGATGAAAATGCATACATTGTGCAAAAATTAAAAATGATGCAAAAATATAATATTAATAATAATAATAAATATTTAAAAGCAAAAAAAAAAACAAACTACTAGCTCCTATATATATACGGAGTCTAGCTGAATAGCGTAGTTTTCAATGTCAAATCAGGGACTTGTTGTTACATTGTGGGGGACATCAGGAAGGATTTTTTTTTTCACAATTCAGATCTCTAACCCTGGCTGATACCTGTCCCTAGTACCCCAAATCTCCCTCGATAAAAATTCTCTCCTTTGGCTTAAGTCATCATTTCTTGTTTAAGTGTACAGAATAAGCTCCTCTTTACCCCAGCACCTAAATAAAATTCTACCCCTTAACTCTTTTACTGCAGTGTTTGGATAAAACCTCAGAAGGAATGAGTCAATTGAACATGTCAAGGGCAGGAAGACTCAAGGGAGGCACTTGCTACAGGCAGGAAGGGTATAAAATGGAGGATAGTGGCTTGCAGGATATGAATTGATTCCATCTACTTTTCTGCCCTCCTCAGGACTGTTTAAAAGACAGTTTCCCAAAAGTCCTAACTACTGCCAGTATAAGCTCAAGGAACTTTCCTCTTCCCAAATTCTCTTACAATATTTCTAATGAGTACTGATGCTACACATCCTCTTTCGTGTTTTTATCACATTGTTTCTAATTAAATTAAATTTAATTAATTAATTAGATTAAATTAAATGTGGAAATTTAATTCCACATTTAAGTGTCTCTCCCCAACCCCATAAACATACAATTCATCTATTATCCAGTTATTTCTCACCATCAGAATAATTTTCAAAGCCATATATTACAATTCATATGGAAGGCAGCTTTTGCTAAATTTTTAATAGTTGAGTTAGTGCCCCATTCAAATTTAACCTCATTTATGAATATTAATGTCTAATTGGCAACCTAACACTTCATGTACGCCACACATTGTAAGTAAAATCATATGACAAAAAGGGAGCAACAGACCTACGAGTCGAAGGACTTGATGACTGCCATTCCTTGCACCAAGCTAAATTCCTGACTAATCTGGACCTACTTAACCTTTGTTCTTACCCTTTTCTGCTGTTTTTTCCAAAGTTAGTAGGCATTCCAGGCCCAAAGAAATTAGAGAAAACACATTTTATCCTATTTATCTCACTGGTAACAACTATTAAGGACACTGAAAAATAAACAAAAGCAAGAGTTCGGATAAAGAAAACAAAACTAAAAGAATAGCCAATACCATTATGAGTTTCCTGTTATTTTTTTTCTCCCCTATCTCCTAGCTTAGATTCGGGGCAGTTCAAATCTGGGAATTAAATAGAGGGAATGGGCAGAATTAAACTACAGGGAAACTGTTGCACTCGTACCAGAATTGGGAAGTTGTTCACGTGGATTGGAAACTGAGTGATGGGGGAAGGAATGCCAATTTACTTCTTTTTCCTCCTCTGGTGGTCTTGCCTCAAGTGAGGCAAGTTTCAGTTAAACTGGTTACTGAGGTACTTAAAACTGGGAGAAAATTTTTCTCTCTGACCAAAGTAATAAAGAAAAGGCCTTCTGTAATCTTAAGAATATTCAAAGTAAACCTGCTAATTTTTTCTCTGATCTCCTTGTCACTTTGACCTGCACATAGATGGAGGCATGTGATATGTGAGACAACACCCATGGAAGGCTAGAGTGCAACATTTTTGCCACAAAACCAGAAAATGGGGCTGCCATGAGCTGGAGACATTTCAAGAAATCAGAGGGTGGGGATCTCAAAAGTGATCCCCTACAAATCTGTTTGAATAGTTTCTCCGAAGATGCGTATTCATGGAACTGACATAAAGTTATAAAGACAAAGTGTTTGAAGATCTTTAGTCTCATAGATGTACTCATCCAAAAAAAAAAAAAAAAGAAAAGAAAGCAAAACATTGAAAACTGAATATACATTTAAACCACAGCCATAGAAGGCAGAACAGATGAGTGGTCTGAAACTAAGTGGGTTAATAACCTACTTAAGCAAACAAACAAGCAAGCAAAAAAAGTTCTCATGAGGATTTTAAGAGTTCTTAGAAAATCATAGTTATTTGAAATGCCCAGAATACAATCCAAAATTATATAACATATAAAAAAATAAGACAATGTTTGTAAATGTTAAAGGAAAGGACAAGAGATGCCAACTCCAATGTTGCAAAAATTTTGAAACTTTCAGACAAAAATTTTAGTGATTATAACAAGGTTGCATGAAGTAATACCAAATACTAGCATCTAATGTAAAGATGGATATTTTCAGCAGAACATAGGTATATCTGCTCAGCTTAGACATGGTAGCATCCCTGCATTAGAGTCAGGTGGGCATTCTAACTCTTTTAAATATAAATACCTGCCTCAGCCACGGGGATTTCAATTGGTATAGGATCTAGAGAGTCATATTATTAAAAAAAAAAAAAACTCCACAGATAACTCTATTGTATAATCATTTATGAATATCAGTACTTTAGATCGACTGCTACATTTTATACCTGAGATATGCTGTTTGAAATCTTCATACACAGACTGACTCAAATGCTCCTGTGGGAACTATAGTAAAACCCATCATAATACCTACACATAATACACTTTATTTTTTATGTATTTAGTCCCTCATTGATTTTCACGTTTTTTAAAAAATGCTAGCATTATAAAATACCTACAATGAAGTCCAGGTACCTGCCCCAGACTACTTTGTACCTTTTGGGAAAACTGCTGCATCTGTAATTGAAAGAGAGGATAAAGGCCTACAAAGTAAAGCCAGTAACTGCTACACATTCCCTATTCTACTAGCCCACACAACCATTCCATCTTATTGTCTAGAGCCCCAAATTTCTAGAATTTCCTTTAAGTAAATTGAGGTTTGGTAGTAAACATCCATTTTCCTTCTGCCCTTAAATCTACTTTTGAAAAAGAATGCATAACTATTATTCATTTCAATTTAGCCAAAGAAGGAAGGGGAGAGACAGAGCTATCACCTTCATGTGACTTAAATTTGACTACTTGATCATCATTTAATTGTAGCCATGGCTCATATCTATGACAGGGGTAAATCCCAGATATTTGGCAAAAAGTATAACCTGAATAATTCTTTAAGAATGCAGGGCGCAGGTTGTTACTGATGTAAAGATGAAACAATAGTTGTATTACACCCCTACAGCCCAACAAAAGACTAAGTTACTGTTTTGCTTTGTCGTGGCAGTTTATCACCATCTTTGAAGGAAACAAGAACGTTGTTGATGGTGCGTATCCCTCGAAAGACATAGTTTCAGGTACAAAATACTATGTTATTAACAGCTAGTATAATAAAATTCTCAATTACATAATTTTGAATTAATGTTTTGATCATTTACCCTCTCAAAATAAATAGTACCTCCTAATATTATTGAAATTCATTATTAATATGGCATTCAAACACTATTCCTGTAATTGTTATGTAACAATTTCCAGCATGTTATGCAATTCTCTTACCTTAACCTCACACCAGAGGTGTAATAGATAATGAAATAACATTTATCATAAACCAGCTAGCCCCGTTTTATGAACATAGAAAAGTGGGCATCATTAGCAGCTGAATGGCTGCTGTGTTTTACAATTCAGGTCTCAGCATTTTCCAAAAGACAGTGGAGAGGAAGGTTTCATACGAAAATTTCCAAGCTTTAAATATTATCAAATAATCACAACTTGTATTTATACCTTATTGCATCAATCACAAAGCATGCCTCAGCCTTAGCCTCAGCCTCAGGGAATTCTCAGCCTCAAAATTCTGTATTTACATGTAAAATAACCATTTTGTTCAATTAAAATATATTTTCTAAAAGCCCATGTGTATAACTGGTACAGAGAAATGAATCCAAGTGAAAACTCTTTTATTATCTAGAGTCTTACCTCACATAACCAAAAAAAACCTCACTTAACATCAGTCAGCTATATTATATATATATATATAGTCAACTTAAAATATCTCCCCAAACAGGTAATGAGAAATAGTACTAGAACTCGACAGTCGCACTGTATAGAGTTTAAAATTACTTTCCCTTGTGAGTTCAACCCATCAGTTTTCTGAAGTTTTCTGGTAGAAACAGAAGGTCATTCTTTGCACACCTAACTAGGGAGCTTCAGAGTGCAGCGGGCATAACGATGAGCTGTGAGTCCGAATGCCAGGACCTCTTTCCCAGCGTGGCCATTTTATACTCATCTGATCTTAGATACAACTATTTGACCTTGCCAACATGCAGCATCCAGAAATGGAGATCGTATTCTTCCTGTTTCTTTCACAGAAGTACTAGAAGCACCAAATTAAAAGAATCTTTGCTGATTTAAATTGTTTTTCAATCCCATGAAGTATTTTATAAATGTCAATTTCTAAACTCTAATGTTGCCATATGAGTATTTCAGTTACAATTTATAATAAATAGTAATATTTATTTTCTGCTTTATCCATAGAAACTCCCAAGCCTCGTGGTGCCAAACATGGACCTAAAATGCTGGTGAAGGTATCTTCAGCTCTGTCAAAGGTGTTTTCTCGAAGTAACTCCAATGTTTCCAAATCTCGCTCACCACCTCACCAGGATAAGCTCTGAATCTTCTATACCTAAGATAACTATGCTTGATCTTCTATACCTAAGATAACTATGCTTGCTTCCCTTAGAAAATAAAATGGTTTTTAAAACATTCCAATGTCCTTTAAGATATTTTTCATAATACTGCTCAAAAAATTTAAGAGTATTAAGAGAAATAAAGTATAAATGAGACCCTTTTCTTTTATACTTTTAGATCCTTCTCTTTTATACTTTTATATCATTCATCTGGGTAAGAGGAGGGTTTGCTCAATGGTTTTGGTAAGCATTTGGGTATGAGAAGATGTTTAGTGCTAGTATTCACTGTGTGCCATAAGAAGGAATAAAGAGGTATTCATGGGATGCCAGTTAGCTCTCAAGAACCTCCCGAAAAATAACCTGTATTTTCCCTATTAAATTTTTAGCACTATTTTTTCCAAACTAGTAAGAAAATAGAGATGAAACACACTGAATTCAGTGAAGTAGCTATGAACCTCATAGATCCACTGTTAAAGACATGTATTTATACCAGATATTAAGTAATCAATTTTTCCCACCTTGAGTTTCATCAAATCATAAAATATCCCCAAGTAGGACCTCCCCTGGTGGCGCAGGCGTTGAGCACAGCGCTGTAGCTGTGAAGTTCTCTGCAGCCTCTGCAGCATGGGTTCAATCCTGGCTGGCCAGGAAGCAACCCACACGGCGAAGCAGACCTCTCCCGTCTGGCCCACTGCCCCCCTCAGCAGTGTGTTTCGTCAGTCTGCCTGTTCTGTTCCCTGCTCTGTCTCTGGTGAGTCCTCTCACCCTCCAGGGCATCTGGCCTGTGCCCGGGATCTTGTACAAATATAGGGTAAATGGTTTTCAGGCTCTTCTGCCCTCCCACCATTAGGATTGCCCTATCTGATGGGGCACCTGCAGTTGTTACATTGTTGCTAACTGACTTGTTTACTTCTGTGGGCCATGGGAGGAGTTTTGAGAGTCCATCACCAAGAGAAGAAGCAGGAGAGAGGCATTAGAGAGAGAAAGGGAGAAAGAAGTCCAGAGTGAAGACTTGCAGGGGGCTTGGAGGCCTGAGGGCCTCCTGGTCCCCCTGCACCCCTGCCTGCCATTTATCTGGTTGCTGCTCTATGTAACAGCTCAATAAAAGCCTGAGAAACCCACTGAGGGCTCCAAGACTCTCCTTCACCCATCTGCTGGATCAGAAAACCTGCCCAGTGGCCATCCTGCCCATACAATAAATAAATAAATAAATTTAAAATAAAATATTCCCAAGCAAAAGAACTAGTTATGTATACAAAATAATCTTGAAGTAATTACTGTAGATGAAATATTATATATGTATAACCTTGACTACTATGAAAAATAAATGCCACCAATATACAGATCTTTGATTATTAAAGTTATCATTTACATAATATTTTACATGAATATAGACCAGTCATAAGAACATTAAAAAGCAGAAAAACTAACTAGCTAGCTATTTTCTTTTATCTATTATGATAGATTAAAACATTTTTCAAAATCAGTTAAACTTTTGGCTGTGTGGTATGGCTCTAACCTCAGCATTATTTACCTCTAAAATCTAAGGATCTTGATTAAAATGTTCAAAAGGGGAACCAAGCAGCAAAGAATGGCAAACATCACCATTATCTACCCGAAAGCCGAGTCACAAATTTTAGAAAATGGGATATCTAAAATCTTGACAGTAACCTGTACTAAACAGAAACACCTATTATTTTTTATTTACAATATTGGATTTCCTTTAATGAAATTCTCAATGAGGTTATAACATGAATTTACAAAGAAAAAAGATGTGATTATATAGAATTTTTAGAAACCATTGATTATGAAGTCATTCAACTAGTAAATTGGTCTATTGATAATAATCTCATAACTTGTACTTGATCACAAAGATCATAAACAATCAGGTAATACAGACCTTTACAAATATTACAGTTAATATTTAATGACAAATATTTTCAATTCAAAACTATTTTTGTAAAGACTAATTTTACCATTGTGTATTAATTGACAGTGTTGTTAAAAGCAATCCTACAGAGGTCATCCTAACATTGTTCCTCAATCTTTGATATTACATACGTTTAAGTTGTCTTTAAACTTAAAAGACCAGTCTACTATATTTTCTATCAAAGATTTTATCCAGATATTCAAAAGTTGATAAGAAAATAAACATCTATAACAATGTGATTTAAAAGCATTCTGGTTCACAAAAATTCACATATCAAATACTTAATTGAAAAAAAAAAGGATGCATTTCATCCACATCTATAGTGGATGAAATTTCTAGAGGCTACATTAGTCTTTGAACTACAGATCCTGAAGAATGCCATCTGAGTCCATTAAGTATTGAAATTATTTTTAGGTTGATTCTGTTGTACTAAAATAGGGTTGGCAGATCCTTTTTATTTGAAAAGCTAGATAACAAGTTTTCAGGGCATATCACTATCAAAATTACTGTATCTTTTCATCACAAAAAAAGTCACATACATTACATGAACAACTGAATGTGACTGTCATTCAATGAATATTTATGAACAATAACATTTTGAATTTTAAGTTTTCACATCACAAAATATTATTTGATTATTTTTCAGGGATTTAAATATTTCATACTATTTCTTAATTTTCAGTCTGTTAAGAAATAGATGGCATTTCAGATTTTGCCCATGGGAAGCAGTTTACGAAATACTGCATATGAACATATGACGTCCAAAATTAGCCAGAATTAGTTGATTATGCCAGAAATGGCATAGGATATTTCTTTTAAAATTAATTTTACTAGTGAGGTTACATATTTTACTACAAAAAATGACGAAAGTTAAAATTTTCACTTCCTTAGTGATTTGTTACTGAATACATTGCTGAGAAGGTACATGAGCGTTCTTCTAAAATAGGCCTTGAGTCAGAAAAAAGAAAAGTTAGATCTAGATTTAGAAGTTGATTAGAATTTAGACATTGAAAAGTTAGATACAGATCCAGAACATGTGGTGTATATACACTATGAAATACTATTCAACTATTAGAAAAAGATGAGATTTTTGCCATTTGTGACAACATGGATGGAACTTTAGGTAACTGAAAAATGCCAGAAGGAGAAAGACAAATACCAGATGATTTCACTCATTTGTGTAGTGTATAAAAACAAAGCAATAAACAGACAAAACAAAAACATTCTGTCAACAGAAGTGATATTAACAGCAGGGAGAACAGGTTGGGAACAAGGGGTAGAGGAATTCTATATTCTGTGATGGAGGGGTCTAAGGACTTTGGTGATAGGAATGTTGTGGTAACACACATCTAAGGAAACATGAATTTTGTCATCCAAAAACATTAGCAATATCGTAAATCAATGTTACCTCAATAAAATAATAATGAAAGTCTACTGTTTTCACATTTCCGAGATGTTGTGAAGAATTATTTATTTATTTTTTTAAAGATGTATCTATTTGTTCATACAAGCACTGGGTACAGTCAGAAGCGCGGGAGGGTAAGAGAATTAACCAGAGCCAGAGCAGGGAGCAGAGCAGGCAGAAGGACCAAAGTACACTGCTGAGGGGAGCAGCGGGCGGCAGGAGGGGTTTGCGGCCATGTGGGACCCTCCTCCGGTGGCCAGGGATCGATCCGGCTCTCAACCGCTGCGCCACCAGAGGCGGCCCTGTTGTGAAGAACTATTGAGGCATGCAGATGATGTTCAATAGTTTTTTACTTTAAATTATCATCAACTACTAATCTTGTTTAGCAATCTCATTTTACAGATGAGAAAATGAAAATAAGTTAACATATTTCATCCAAGTTCATTAAGCTTAAAGCCATGTTTACAACTATTTATTCTAACTAAGTTACTCTGCTGTACAACATGTTGATTAACTTTAGTCGAATTTACCATTTTCTCACCTTTTTGCTAAAATGAGTGAGTTTTAGTTTAGTTACCATTTAGTTTAGTTACCAACATGTTTAGTTACCATTCAGATCAAATATCCTCAACCTGATATCTTAGGACAATGTTTTGTTATTTTAAGATTTGTTTATTTATTTATACAAGCACTGGGTGCGGGAGGGTGAGAGAATTCACCAGAGCCAGAGCAGGGAGCTGAACAGGCAGACGGACCAAAGACACTGCAAAGGGGAGCAGCTGGCAGGACAGGAGAGGTCTGCGGGCCATCTGGGACCCTTGCCAAGGGCCAGGAATAGAACAGGCATTGCAGAAGCTGCGGCGGGCAGCTTTGCGGCCCAGCGCTCAACCGCTGCCCACTGGGGAGGCCTATTAGGACAATGTTTTAATGCTCCTTCACAGGCCAGAAAGAGTCACTCCACTATTGAGTCTTCTGTAGATGTTCCACAGCTTATAAAAATATAAGAATGTGACAATCTCATCCACTCCCAAAACACCCAGAAGCTGTTCTTGCACCAAAGTGGAAAAAAAAATATCTGTTTACAGTTAATATTTGGGAGAATTCAAAGGACTATAGTTGGTTTTGTTTTCTCAAAAGATAACAGACTGACACTGTACTTTGTCAAATGTCTGAAGACAAATTATTTCATATATTTTTGTATGCCTTTTGCTTTTATTTTTGCATAAGGACAACAGTTAACTTGTCATTGATAAAAAGGGAAATTATTGTTTTGTTTTTAACTTTCCTTATTTAGTTATGTAGTTTATTGGTAAACCATTAGGTAAAGATAATTTGAAACTTTTTACCAGGTTCTAGTCAAATGGAATATTAAAATATTTTATATACTAGCATTTATTCCAGTTCAAGTATGATCAAAAGGTTTTTATATACATTCCTTGTTGTGCACATGAATTCCCTGTGAGCTTGAACCATCAAATCTCAATATATCTGACCTTAGAAAACAACAAAGAAAACATGAGTTTAGTTTTTTGACTTGAGAAATGTGGTTGAGATAAAAATTATTTTTATGTTCTAAACTGGTTATCATATCATTCAGGAACAATTGCACTTTGTGTTTTCAAGTTTCTCAGTGCTAATATGTGGCAGGTTCTGGTATCAGTAACTATATATAGCTATAGATACATACACAAATATATCCACACACATATACATATATATAAATTTGCATTTGATCAACTTTGGACAGGATTACATAAAA